CGGGTTATCTAAGCAGTTCCATAGAATACGACGCCACCTAGCGCAAAAGACGTGAAGGCGAGGAGAGAGTTACCCGCCTTTTCTAAAGTGCAGCGAAAACCGGCGCGCCCTAGCGGCGAAAATGCGAAACGGGAAGAAGAAAGAAAATTCAAACGCGCCACAGGAGTCGAGAAACAGTCTCTCGGTGTTTCGTAAGATCATAATTCCAATTCTTTTTTTAATGATTTTTCCAGTAAGTCTATTGTTCTCTTCTAGGCATTTTTTCATCCCTCGCTTGCTCCTAATTTCGGACACGCGCACTCTTCCAGTTGCACCATTCGAAATGTCTCGCATGTTGAACGGAACTCTCTTCGCTTTGTTGAAAAACATTATTTCGGGCTTGTCCCTGCCGAAGTGTAGATCCCAGATATGCCCCCTGTAACGCTGAAATAATGGTTACCCCGGAAGACGATCAATTTTGCGGTGCGGCCGAAACACGAGACATGCGCGGCAGAGACGACATTTTAGACGACCGTCGATTAAATGAAACGAAATATTCACCGTAATCACATACATTTATGCGAGATCAGCGGATTGTCTGAGAATTACGCGATCAACGCGCAGACTGGTCGCAGAAAACACGATCCGAATTGAGGGGTAATACAAATATAAAAAGAGAACAATTTCGAAGTTGGAAAACAATACTACACTTTCCGCGCGATAGTTTAATGACCACCAATGCGTAACAGCGGACATATGAGCCAGACTTTACGTAACTGACTGACGACAAAACGAAGCACTCTGTTGTCTGCTCGCTGCGCTTACCGGGAGGTGGCGCCACATGCTAATAGCATCGGTAACTTGGTCGTCTGCGAACGGGCCTAACGCAAACTTTGGCAGTTTTTTTGCTCTTAATTTATTTTTTTTTTTTTTAACAAAAAGAGGACTACGTCTTGAGAATGTGCCCTGCGCAGGGCACATTGGGTTCGAGCTTTCCATGGGCAGGCGCCAATTTTCCCGGCTTGTCTTAGAGCGGATATCCCGGAGAGCAAGTCGTCTGCTTCTTGCGGGGAGTTGCGCTGACGTCAAAACGATGCCAAGCTGTTATCGGCTGATCGAAAAAAAAAAAAAATAGTGGGTAGATCTTAAAGCTAGGCGCTTTGAGGTCTACCCACTATTTCTCGTCTGCTCCTGCGCAAGAAGCAGTCGACTTGCTCTCCACATTTGTTTTACCAAGTATGAAGATCATTTTCTTTTCTCGACTACGCTAAAAAGGTCTGCAATGTTAATGTTTAATGGTAGTTAACTTGCAATTACGTTTTGGTAACTGTAGCCATCACCTAGTTGCATTTTTGGAACAACGCTGGATCCAGACTGATTTTCGCGCGACAGGAGCATAGCGCCATCTCGGGAGCAAGTGGCGGACTTGAGCGTCAACAAACCCAACTCTCGTCTGTCTCACGTCTGTCTGCCTGGGCGTCTGGGTTTGGGAAAAACCGTACCGTAACTTTTCTGCGTCGGGGATGCGGGCAGACGAAGAAACGCTCCCAAAGGACCTTGGACGTTCCGAGTGCAATTTCAAACTAAAAAAAATGATACACAAAGATCCTTACGTCATCAGCTAGGGAGATAGGAATGTCGGTGAGAACTGATAGCGTCAAAGAGAACTTCCTAGACTCGCGATTGAATTCAGTACGACTACCCACTTCCTACGTGGTTCGTTGATTGCGAGTGTTCGCCGATAAGAAACGCGAGAATGAAATAAATCGCATCAAAAGTTACCAACTTTGACGTCCATAGTACGAAGCAAGCGTGCATTATTCGACGGATGAATGGAGTCTGCCTGCTAATTAACAAGTAACGTAACCTTGGTCATGAACGCAGCCAACGAACCCTTTCGTGCACTGCTAAAGCAATGTTACAACATCGTTGCACGTGCTGAGTGCCATAGTTGAGAAATGTCCAACTAAAAATATAGGCCGCTCTGGATGTTGACTTTTGCTCCCGGATAGAGTCAACTGTTGAAACTTGGTTCTTCGCCAAGTGTGTAAACAATTGACAATCTCGCCTGCATGGTGTAAGCAACTCATGACAACAATGCTGAATCATGGATAAACATCCATGCGCGGGAAATTTATAAAAACCCACAAAAATCTGCATACTGTTATAAAGAAGAAAAAAAAAAAAAAAGGTCACAAAAATGCAATTTGTTTGGATCAGACACCTGCTTGGATCTCAGGAGATAAATTAAGTATGCACTTCAAACTTCTCGGGAGTTTGCCTCAATTCTGACAAGGCGACAAGGCGGCGCACCACACATTGGCCTAAACTAACGGTAGGTTGTTTTTTTTTCTTTAATTCAATGCGCGCAATATTTGTGGTTTGTGAATTCTGCGCTAGACATCAGTATCTGCTGATATTTTAAATAAACTAAAAAGCAGAAAACGATCACGCTGTGGAGAACTTGCGCTGCTTTCGACGAATCACCGATGCAACCGCAGCTAAAAGCAAGTTTATTCCTCCAACGCATACACTCGGAGTATGTTTTTTATCCAGAAAGCATTTACGAATAGGTAGATCGGCACGAGAAAATTCGGCGATGATAGACAAATAAAATAACGCACGAGACTTTCGCGACTTCATTCGGCGACCGTTTTAGGCCTAGCGATCAGCTGCCGAGCTCGCCGCGCGACTACGACTCGCGCTCCCGGCTTCCACGGCCGCTTTGCAAGTACGACCCGCACAGGGAAGCCTGGTGGAATTCCAAACTCGCCGTCGATTACCGTTGGAAACCGCGCAAAAAATGCTCCGACAGTTTTTGAAGGCGATTTTTCGGGCACAGTGAATCGCCGAGAACGGCCATCTTTCTACGACGAGTGGCCCGCGAAAAATCCGTTTCCCTAACTCAAGGACGCCAACCGCATCGCACTCGGTCGAGACGCCGGACAGACGGGTTCATTCCCCCGCGATCGCCGATTTTTCGGATCGTGGACAAGTCGGCTGGGGCCGCTTAAAAACGTGCTTACTTTGAGACGGGTGTCGCTCGTCGGTGCTGTCTCTGTCCGACATGATGGACCTTTTCGACGACTGGGAGCGCCAGCGACCAGCCGCGTTGTGGCTCTTGTGAATAATTAAACAGGCTCGGCCAATCACGGGCCAGGGTAACGGTGCACGATCCTCCCAGAATCCGTGCGTCGTCTGCTAGACTCCAGGACGTGGGAAAACTTTGATTTTGTGCCGCTTTGCGTGAGAAGCCTGGTTTAAATTGGTCACGAATGTAACTTGGTACCCGATGACGAGATGTGCGTGTCCGATGGACACGTTCGAACGAGGCTTAGTCGCTTAGTATCCCAGAATTACTGCGACGGGACGGAGGGTCTAGCCGAGTCTAGCAGACGAAAGCAAAAATGGCTCCGCCACTTCCGCATGCCTCGAAGCTAGCCAAACAAAATAGTATATTGATTTCATTTTACCAGAGGTGACTTTTTTTTTTTTTTTCTATATATTTATGCCATTGCTCGCCTTTGAAAGAGAATTAACATTCAATCTTGTATAGCGCTCAACTCTTTCCACACGCATATTCACGAAGATTGCTTCGATAACGAAACCCGATAACGATAGAATGCATGCGCAAAGGCGCGTACGGAGTATCGGGTATCGTTATCGTGACGCTTTACAAAAACTCCCAAATGTTGTACCGCTTGACCACCGCAGATGACTTATTAAAACTATATCCATTTTCGCTTTGTTAATTTCATTCAGAACATTCATTTCTGTCAATTAGACGCATTCGCCATTTCTGGACCTTTCTGTTGTCCATCCAGTTTTATCCCCATCCTGGGTTACCATGTCAGTATTGAACCAGATTGCCTGCACGCATGCTTTAGTTTCACTATAAAAGTAAATGCGACAGCTATTCCACTGGCTATTATTTAAAATACTTATTGAATGCAGAATGCAAGTTCGTCTGCTTTTTGCTCAGGGGTTGCAATGATGTCAGGACGCCAAGCTCTTATTTGCCGATTTAACAAAATTGTGGGTAGACCTCGAGGCATCAAGCATTGCGGTCTACCTACTATCCTTTTAATCAAAACTAATCAGACCTCAGCGTCATTCTGACATCACCACAACCCCTGAGCAAGAAACAGGCAGCTTGCCCTCCGCAAAGTCCAGCAACCAGGCCTTCACATCAACACTACAGGTAGCAGGAATTTTTAGGAGATCGATTCAATAGAGTCGAAAATTGTTTACTACTTGCATAGGGGTGATTGAAAAATAAAAAAAAGTAAATATACCTCAAGGCTTCCAGCATCAAGGTCTACCCACTATCCCTCCAATCAAAGCTTATCAGAGCTCACCGTCGTTCCGACATCACCGAAACTCCTGACAAGCAGACTACTTGCTCTCGGCATAACAATGAAATGCATGCCCAAAGGAGTCTGCGGAAAACTGTTTTCGGGACCTGCAAAAGCCACCCAATTGCTTTAGGCCTTATCAGTGTACATATCAAGGAAGTCTGACCACTCACCTATTCCCAGAAGTAGCTCAAAGAAAGCACTAACAGCTCTTCTTGTTAACTTGCCAATTTAAAAAGCACGGCCACAAAGGTGAGCAGCTGGGTAAACCTAGAAGCCAGAGGGTTCATTGAAGTACCACCGCAAGTAAAGCAGAAAAACTGACACCAGCCACATCCAAGCCAGCAGCCAATTTAATTATGGTGCCTGGAACTACACGACTGATAGTCGAATGCGTTCCCGTAGTGGCAAAGTATGATGCCACAGCAGCCAGCATGTAATGTCGGTTGTCACAAGCCTAGTGATTGGACGAAAAAAGTCGCCACAAAAAGTAAGAGCGAACATAGATTAGAACGGTCATCAGCACCAGGATCACGGCAGGCATCAGCATCACTTTTATGACATCAGTAGGGCAGAAATCAAGGGACTGCAATTGAGAATGTGATAACCACACCACTGAGAGACAAGTTCCAGGCACCATACTTCAATAGACACTGACGCCCTGGCAAAGTGACAACAGACACTGGTTTATTCGTTCTCCTCCGAGCGGAGCCTAGCGTTGGCGTTGGTGACTCTGACTGACAACTGCTGTGCCCGCTCGACGAGAATCTTGCGCTTCTTGGATGACACGCCGTGGGCAATCTCGGCGCAGTACCGCCGGTTCATCATCATCAGCATCTCCAGTTCCTGCAGAGGAAAACCCAACACAAAAACATTGACATCAAGAACGACACCTTAATTGACTTTAGGGTACCACCACCCACAGGCCTGCAAGTTTGAACAAAGATTTTGGTTGCCTTAAAGGTACACACAACAAAATTTCTGAGCAAATTTTTTGGTCTAGCGTGTTCAAAGGGGTATCCCATCGGACGCACCAATATCTTGTTAAAAAAAGACACGAAAAGGAATTTTAAAACATAAACGATTTGCAAAGAGCACCTGGTGGATATCGCTAGAGCCTCACTTGTAATGCACATCTAGCAACCTTGCCACATCGCCATTTTTAATTCAAGGATCCGACGTCGCCTGCAGCAGATTGTGCACTGCAAACCTATCATCGGTCCTTACCTCAACAATGACAAATTATTACCAAAATATAAATAGCATCGATAATTGAACCACCCTCTCCCAAAAACCCGTTGCCCCCCGCGGCATCGAGCACGGTGCCAAGGCTAGGCGGCACCAGACGCCACCCAATTGAAACGGTCCCGTTGTATCCGTTCATTCATCCAGCACGCTGTGTGTCCACACATAGGCTGGTGAATACACCCATGAGCTGCTTCTTAGATTTGTCGTGCCAGTGTGGTGATTCACGCCATGTTCATTCTATCACAGATTCGTACGCCTGGCTTGAGATGAAATCACTTTTTTTTTTTTTTTTTTGCATCTAGGTGGCATTTTTTTAGGTGGCCGTTCTTGGAAGATTATCTGTAACATGTAACGTGTGCATGGGAGAGTGATAATTGGACAAGTTAGAAAGAAGAACAAAATTGCAAACGTCCTCCGAGAACTGAACCCGAATCTTGAGCACTACGCTCGACCACCGTGCAAGGGGGAGACTTGTGAAGCGATAGGAATTATGTGTCACTCTCTTTATCGTGCGCATGCACAGGACTCAATGGATGCACTGCAATCTTCTGAGTGTCTCCCAAGAGAAAAAGCAGACCAAAGAGAAAACAGCTAAACAAAGACGTCGACATGCTGGGTTTTTATTGAATGAGAATGTAGACATTTGTTGCTTAGTTATCTCTCCCCCCCCCCCCCCCCCCCTTCCAGGGTTCGCCGCAACTTAATCAGCGAAATAAAGCCTTCATATATGATAACCATTGCTGTAGCGTTTTAACATAGTTTGCAGTGAAGCACCACAGAAAAACACTGTCTTTAGTTCTACAAATATTGTGATTTGCAATTTTCTTCTCTTTTTTTCTATTATTTATGCTTGACTTGGCATTTTTGCCACTATTCTTGAACCTCTACTAAAAATACTTCATGAAAAAAAAACAAAAAAACTGGCAAGACACTTATAAATAGGGCCTTTCGTTTTCGAGTGAAACTAGATATTTACATTCCGAACATGTTCCTTGAAAATTGAGTTAAACCCGATTTCCCCCCGTATTAAGAAATTGAATGTCGCATTTTTCAAATTACTCTGCTCTGAAAAAGATTTTCTATGAAACAAAGGGTTAGTAGGAACATGAGCATTTGGTCCAGACCTGAACCTACATTGCTAGCTTCGGTGAACTGTAATGACATTAATATACCCTTAAAATGATTGTTTTTAATATTGTGAAGAATCCTATGCCCTTCTCTATCCACTTCAACCAGTGCAAGAAAAAAAAAATAAGAGAGAAGGATCAGAAACTATTCTCAAAACATTCAAGAACAGCAGCAGATATTTTGTTTTTATGAAACTGAAGTGATTTTGTTGTGCCTTGCAAATGTATGCATAAGCCCTGAATTCAGATAAAAAGCAATCCACTTAGAACAATACCAGATATATTGATAAATTTATAGAGGACCACATGTTTTTCGTGGGGTATCCATTCCAGACAGAACAATTAATTATAACAATTGCATTTTCGGGTTTTCTTATTACCGTTACAGAAGCAATGCTCTATATGTCCAAGAGACTTCACAGGACTAGGGTGGAGATAGTGGTGCGGCTCACGCAGAAGATTACGTAAGCGACGAGGATTATCAAAAATTGTAAAGTTTAAGTGCACTCTTATGCTGCATTCACACTGGAAGCGAATCCGCGTTAAGCGAAGACAACCGCCTCTTGCCAACCACCGAAAGGCGGTTTCTCAACGATCACGGGTGATCTTTTGAGACTTGCATTTGGCAACCTTGTTTTACAAGCCAAAATCCACTTTAATCCACGATCCAAATGTAAAATTTTGCTATTTTGGCACTCGTGAAGATTTGTTATTGGGATGTTCGTACGCATCACTAGTGGAGACAGTGAAAAAAGAGGCATGGACCCGCAAAACTTGACTGTGATGTTCTCGACTTCGCCCACAAGCAAAGCCCAGCTAGGCGAGCCTTGCTGACTCAGAACAGGGTGCCCCCAATTTTGTTTTCGAAGTGGACCCTTCCCGCATGAATAGCTGACCTTGTTTTCGGGATAGAGGGCCAGTTTTCCTCCCTTGTTCGCTCTTATCATTTTCGAAGTTGTGAGCGGTGAGTGGACCGTGGTGCGGGGAATGTGTTCGGTGCTAGCCGGTCGTAGCTTTGCTGGTGGCGGACTCTCCTCTCGTCACTCGCACTTCGATCGAGTCTACTGTTTGTTTGACATCAAGCTCAAATAAACGCCGTAAGAATTACCTCTGCATCGTCTGGTACGTACACTTTATTTCTTGAGTATGTTTCCTCTATTTTCTTTCGTTAGTAGTAAACGCTGCAGGTCGAGCTAGCACAGGTACCCTGCCAGCTCCACGTGGTGCTTTGGCTGCGCAATCAGGCTCACGACGTCTCTATCGGCCATCATGGTGGTTATGCACGGTGTTGAATGCTTTCTAGCTCACGCGACTGTCTTAGTGGGTATAAAAGCTGACATTTCGGTCGACCAGGAGCGAGTTCAGACGTTCTACGGTCAGAGACTAACAAGGCAGCGAGCTTCGGGCTGTGGCACCTGGAGTAATAAACAAACTCTTACCCAAACCAAACCATTGGTGTGAAACCTGTCAAGACTACAAGTCAATTTTTTTCGCGGCAGATTCAAGTGACCGAAATGAAAATCACGTCTCTCCGTTGATTTGTCTGCTGCAACGCTAGGACTACAGTGCCTCGGACGCCTCACCAGCAACAGATGCCATTTTGCATCGAAAGCCATGTACATCACATCACATCAGGTTTGCGAAAATGGTTGGGGCAAATCGGTCCCGAAGTGGTTGGCAAATCTGCGCTCCAACCGCTCGATCCCAGCCGCTTTGCAATTGAGAACACGCGGATCCACTTCCAGTATGAACGCACCATTACACTATGTTCCAATGTTATGATCTGTGCTATAATGACTCGATTCTCAAAAATGTTCTATATACTGAAACTGATCAATGCTCTTTATTGTTATTTATACTTACATATTTCTGAGTATAACCTAAGACTCCAGACTTGCAAAATAATTTCTTGAAAAACCTGACTTCTTCACTACCAGCTTGGAATGAAGCAGCCATTTTTTTTTTTTAAATATAAAACCCAAAAAACAAAGGACTTTACTTATAGACCACTACTAAGTTAATGAAGAGGAAGATCAGACAGAAAAAGGGTAGACAGTCCACAACTTCCCAAGGCGGTGATTTGAAAATATAGCTGGCTTAAGGGATGCTAAACCGAAATTTGGATTTTCCAATACAAGGTAGACGGAATGTTCAACGGGGCGCCACAAAACCCAAAACACCACTTATAAAGCGACATCTCGAACGGATGGCCATATTTCTAAAAAATAAGGACGCGATTGAGCAATAATTGCAAAGTCGCGTTTCCTGCAGAATAGTTGAGGAGGGGAAACGGCCTTGCTTCCTTCCCTCTTCGCGTCCTCACAGTCAAAGCAAGAGGAGGAGGAAACGAGAATCGCGACATCACGGGCTTTTTTTGGCCTCGTTCAAGTGTGCTCTTTCACAAAAATATGACTATCCGTTGGAGATATCGCTTTGCAATTATGCTTTCGGGTTCGTAGCGCCCTGCCTAGCACTTCCGCATTGTTTTCTGAAATCAAAATTTTGTTTCAGCATCCCTTGAAACTCCTGCACGCAATTTTCATCTGAAGAGGATGTGGGACTAGGATAACCTGCCATGAATCAACTGCAGCCTGAAAGACCTTTGAGTGTCTAGGGGACATCCACGTCCTAACCAGCCTTAAACCGCTCATTAAGATAGAACTGAACGGCAGGTTGACCATTTATAGAGTACACAGTCTGGAAGAATGCAGCTCACAATTCCCACAGTTTCCTAGAGACTGCAAGAACATGAGAATAGCTGAGAATGACTGTAATTAAATTAAACTAAAACAATGTGCAAGTTGGCATCCTGAAGATAATGGCACACTTAAAGGGATACTGAAGCGAAACTTGAAATAAACCTATTATGGTCAGAAATAGGTTCAATATGGTCAATGATATCCGTAAATCATAATCGCGCGTTTGCATTTTTAACGGATGGCTATATTTTTCACCCAGAGGGGCCCCGATTGGACGCGCGCTCAACAATCGGCCATCGGAGAGCGCGACGTGTCTTGGGATATTGGGCGCATTCTTGACGTCACTTGTGCCAGACGGGAAAGGCTACGGCGTGGATGTTGTGGTTATGAGCGTTGCCACTTGGTGGCGCGTCGACGATTTACGACCTGTGACAACGTGGCCGTTTGAGATGTGCAAGGGCTACACGCACGCTGCACCACAGCAACTCAGCAACCACGGCACCACTGACAATACCAGCTCTGAGGCCGGATTTCTCAAAGCAAACTTACGACGAAAAAAGTGTGTACGAAAAATTTGAGAGAAAACCTGTATTCTCGAAACGAAATTGTCGTAACTTTAGCGCAGGTTACGACAGAATCCTACGCAGCTCCGCAGCTGTCTTACGCACTTTTTACGATCAAATCAACATGGCCGACAGCGTCGCTCAGTTATCGGTAGCGACGACCAAAGGACATTTATTTTTCTACCTGCTCTTCTTGTGCATCCCGACTTCAACCAGCAAGGAAAAAGGAAGGAGTACTTGAAACAGACCACGACGATCAAGAACGCAGGATCCACAAACACCCGAGAAGAGCTACAAGGGCCACGATTCTACCAACCAAGCGAGCTCGGAAGAATATAGTAGGCCTAGCAGCAACACCGACTCGGCGCACCGTTGCTCCGGCGGTCCTTGACCAAGACCATCTGCCAATTACCGGCTGACCTGCTGAATGGAATATGCCCGCGTGACCCTTGTGAACCCTTCCCGGATGAATAGTTTGATCCCTGCATGAACTAAATTTCAGAGGTCAATCTTTTCCCCTTGTCATCTCGATCTCCCTGTTTTCCGAGACACCGGTGACGAACGCTGTCGTCGAAAAGGGACTCTCATTGATTCTATCCCCTTGTTTCGTGTGATATAGAACTCAAATCAACTCCATACGGATTACCATCGCAACATGGTATGTACACTTTGTTATTAGTATCCCATTTTTATTCTGACACGACGCTACGTCACTGTTGAGCTATAGCAGTCCGTGGGAGCTACGCGACGTCGGTCCAACTTTTCTTTGCCGAGTGTCATGTCAGTGTCAAGTTGCAATCGTAAAAGATTGGTCCAGAAGCGCTTACCGAAACGCGGTCTAACAGAGCGAATCCAGCATTTCGATCAAACGCGCGTGTCCACTCCGAGTGTGAACAGCTATTTGCGTGGCTCTTGCTGACACTCTCGTAGTTCAAACATATCCTTTTTAACGTCGGCTCGCAGCTCACAACTCGCAGCAACTAATACCGGCCGTGCCAGACGCATGCTCGGGTCGTGTCAAGCAAAGAGCCGCAACGAGAACAAGCTCACTGTGGCCAACTACGCTTTGGCTTTCACCGCCGAGGCACTGCGAACGCGTTCAGGCCTAGGCTAATTCTGCCGGCAAGCCGTATTGCCGCAGAACGGCGCTGCTCCTATGCCACAAGTGATGTCACGAGAACTTTCTCGCCATCCACCAGATGTGATTTTGAAATCGTTTAATTAGGTTTAAAATTAGTTCTCCTGTGCAGTAGCACTAACAGCGACATCCTGCATGTTGGAGGTGCGCCCGTGAGGCGAAACTTGCACCAATTACATTCAGAAACTGTCCAACTTCCGAGAAATTACTTAATCGATGCAACGAGCCAAACTATACGTTTGCACTCGCTATTCTTTCTAAACACCCCACAAAGATCACAATAGTCCCACATGAAATTGAAACAGACAAAGAATGTGTAAAAAGGAGGCAAAACAGGTGCAAATGTGCCATGGAAGCGTTGTCAAATTGGTGTGACCCACAGGGGACAAGCCACCAACGATGCTTGCCTGATGGCTGGTGCTTTGCTGTCTCGAGCACCATTAGCACAGGCGGGGCAAACAGACCCACGCAAGTGACTCATGGCTCGGCATTCACACTCAACGCTACAATAGTCTCACCATTAGAGGTCTCAAGGTAACAACAGAAGACCAACACATTCGCACGTACGACGATCCAGCCGGCTAGCCTCACGTACGTACGTACGACAGTTCTATCTGTTAGTCAAGGTAAAAATTACAAGCTGTTTAAACTGCTGTTGCTGAAAATGACCTTACTGAATGACCGTGTTATAATTCTGCACTCGACGTCACCTTCCAAAAGGTGATGGGTAGAGAGGCGAGGTCAGATGTACGACATCTTCTGGGCGCCAAGTAGATTCCCACGATCCTGAATGACACCCAAGCAGTATTAAAAAAACAGATATGTGTTCTTGCTAGCTTTTGATCTATACGGAAATGGCAACGAGAAGAACCTCGACCTCCATTAGCTCTTGATGCAAGCATCTTATCGCCCAGTGGTCAACGAGAGTGCGTCATTGGCCGATAAGAATGCAGAAAAGAATAAACCACAAACCATGGCCCCAAACGAGCCACTTCTTTAGTTGTAGGCGACTGCGGCAACAGAAAAAGAGGTCCTCACCCTCATGTTATGTACAACCACCTTCCTGAAGCCGTTGGGCAGGATGTGCTTGGTCTTCTTGTTGCTCCCGTAACCAATGTTGGGCATGAGGTACTGGCCCTTGAAGCGGCGACGCACCCGGTTGTCGATACCCTTTGGCTTGCGCCAGTTTGGCTGTTGAAGAGACGTCCAGTTAGCGCCAGACTACCACGCGCAGGAACTAGAGCTACTAAATGTGCACAGCGCTCCATTCTCCAGAGGTTTTGCAAGCACTGCCATTTTGTTCCGCACTGCAGAGCAAGCCCGAACATTGTAACTGCGCATCATCACGACGTTCCAAGTTTGTTGATCGGAACAAACATTGTACTGGAGTGGGGTCATGTGTCGCTACAGCACAATGCAGTGGCTTAACTCCTCACCTACAATGCAAACCAGCGCAACCATACCTCGAGGGCAAACCGACTTGACGTCTGATTTGTCTTGCGTATTCAGGTTTGCCAACATAACCAATCAGAGGAAGCACCGTGTTGGCCATAAGGTGATCGGACAAGTCTGTCAAATGAGTTGCCGACGCATAACAGGCCACTGTCGCGTTTATTTACGAGCATTTAAGCACCCGCGAGCCACATGTCGCTAGGCGGGTGACTCTAGCTCAAACTTTTTAAGAGAAAAACACTAACTATTTTTTCCCAAGCAGAATATTAGTTGGAACATGTTTCCTATTGGTAAACACTCAAAGCAAAGAAACGAGAAACACCACAGTTAACAAGAGGGGTGAATACTGCTTAACATTTTAAATTGGGTGGCAACTAGTAGTGCCACCTGGGGGGCTATGTTCGACAAATGTTTCGTTTCTCCTAAAAAGAAACGGAAGTGGCCGAAGCGACGATATCGCTTCTGATTGGTTAGACTCTCAAATGACGAAAGTTCCCTTTATCGTCATTTGAGCCTCTAGCCAATCAGACGCGATATCGTCAGTTCCGTCACTTCCGTTTCTTTTTAGGAGAAACGAAACATTTGTCGAACATAGCCCCCCAGGTCATTGCATACTTTATATCCCTAGTGGTTTCTTGCATTTTCGTGTGTTATCAAGCTGAACACAAGCCGAGTTAGCTCGGCTATAAATGAAATTATCGGAGCACCTGTCCATCGAGAATTGCTGAGGCCTGGCTGGAGCACAGTAGCTCTCCAGTTGTCACTTCTTGAAAATGCTTCACTACCATCTGCCCAGATTTTGTTGAACTCAACCGGAATCTTTAATTGGCGAATATAAAGGCTTTAAAGGAAGAACAGGCAAAAATTGTACCAACCCTCAGCTTCACATAGCGATCACTCTGGTGGCGGATGAACTTCTTCACCCGCTTTTTGACGACTGGAACGGTCTTCAGTGGCTTAATGGCCATGGTGTATCTGCGATCGTGGACAGGTTGCAAGAGCGAGACATCAAACAAACGAAAATAGGAATCTGCGTTGCACAACATTAGCCGTAGCGATTGGTGAAAAAGTGTTGGCCATAAGGTGATCGGACAAGTCTGTAAGATGAGTTGCCGACGCATAACAGGCCATTTTGTGATTGCTTTCCGAGCATGTTAGCACCCGCCAGCCACATATCGGCAAGCGAGTGACTCTAGCTCGAGTCCCGAAATACACGCGAAGCAAGTAAAGTAAAAATATAGTGCCACCTATAAGGAATATGGAAGAAACTACACAATTAGAAACGTTAGAACTTCACACAAGCAAATGAAACGGCGAAACACTAACACTCGTGTCTGCCATAGAGACGCCGGGTTTTCGTTGCGTTATCCCGCGACTATTTAGTTCAGGAAGATCGAAATAAATGTTTCCATAGACCGCGGAAATGTTTGAGATCTATTTACCACAGCCAGCCACAGAAATAATGGCGTTAAACACGACGATTCGTTAGATTGAAGAGCTAGAAAAATGAAGTACACTTACCACCATTTGTGGTGAAAACCAAAAAGGGAAGACAACGCGCATGCGTGAAAGGAAGTCGGCCACAGGAAGTTTAGTGCTGCACCCTCGTGACACGAACAGCGCCGGACCGCCGGACCTTGGCCGCCTTGGCCACCTTGGCGGCACTCGCCGTGTGTGGTGGGCAGTGGTGGTGGGTGTGGTGTCGAAACTCTTTCTGAGTTGAATAAACATTATTATTATTTTTTTATTATTATTATCAGGCATGAAGAAATTTTTAACTTGCTGATGGCAAAGATTCGCACTGATCTTCCCGCTCCCGCGAACTAATTCTAAAGGAAAAGGTAGACGAATTGCGGTTCTGCTAGCGTTGCAGAGGCTGGCAGCAGCGTGTTAAAGACACGTTTTCTACTCGTTCGTCGTCATTCGTCGAAGAAGTTTTTTTAAGACTTTGTGTAGGCGTTGAGACTTGCCGTTGAGAACAAGTGGAAAATTTTACGAAAGCGCAGTACCGCAGGAAAATGGCAGAATTCGTTGAAAGCAAGTTTCGCCGATCTGGCGGCATAATAATAATAATAATAATATTTATTTGCATACAAAAAATCTGATCCTGAGTGGCGTGCACGGCTGTGCAGAAAGGTTAAAACCCGTACGCGAGTGCGCCTGCCAGCCCGCCAAGCTTCCATGGCACGCCGAAATGCTGCGTCTCCGTACCTTCACACGCTTGGATACCAATCAAGAATCGGCGCCGCGCCTCAAAAGGCGCGCTTCCTCTGTTGCTGACTTCATTGACTCAGAGCCGCATTGACTGGTCCCGCAATGCGCGCTACGATAAAAATCCGGGACCAATTTTATTTTTTATTTCAACAATCAAACCAATTAATATCAAGACTAGAGCATACAAAAAAAAAAAAAGGATAATAGTTCCTGGAGAAGGGAAACAAGGGGGACAAAGGACAAACACAAATCTCCGAACCCAGCTCGGCGATTGGGGCAAGACTGAAAAAATCATCCTGGTCAGGGGCTCCAAAACCGGGGAAGGAGGGGGGGGGGGGGGGGGGGGGGGGCAGTCGCCCCCACAGGTTGTAAACCAGTGGGTGCATGCCCCCACGCTCAAAGCTGTATATATATATATATATATATATATATATATACAAAGGAATATTGTGTGTGACTCGAAATAGCAGGAAAAGTGTGGGATTGTATGTCTGTATGTGCCAGTATATGCATTCTTCGTTTGGAAGCATTGTTAAACCATTCTTTTAAAGTTGTCATTCATTGTTTGCCCAATATGTGCGTTTTCACTAAGAAATCTCCGAAGATTCTATCAGACTGCAGGCTTCATTTCTCTGCAATGCGCTTTGTCAGTGTTCGTTAATGATATATGTATATATATAGAGAGAGAGAGAGCGAGAGAGAGAGGTGAACTACATGATGCGACATGAGACCTCAGACATTGCCCCCACACATCAGATATACTGAGTGATTCAAGGAGCGGCCAGGCTCTTTAAATCAACCGCAAAATTCGGTTTCTAACCTATAGCGTTCCGATTTTGTACAGCGTTAACCACAGGAGGTGCATTTTTTCTATAAAATTCGCAAAGAGCAAGCTTACCTGAGGAAAAAGTAAAAAAAGAAAAAGGCGAAGCTACCGGTCTTCAAACCATAGGCGCCCTATGGTTTGAGGACCGGTGGCTTCATTGATAGAAAAAATGCACCACCTGTGACCACCGCTGTATAAAATTGGAACGTGATGGATTAAGAAACCGAATTTTGCGGTCAATTTAAAGAGCCTGGCCGCTCCTTGGATCACCCAGTACGACGGGAGCCTCTGCTCCTGGTATTGAACCAGGGACCTCTCCATTTCCAGTGGAACACTCTACCAACCGAGCTAGCCAGGAGTTATATGTCAGTAGAGCAAACAGGTTTTAACAACCGCCACTAGTCTAACAAATAAGAGTGAACGGCCTGCATTTTAAGGTCATGATGTTAACGCAATTAATACAAAGGTGCAGCGAGCTGGACAAGAATAACAATAATAATCCCTGGAGAAGGCGAACAATGGACAAACACAAATCTCCAAACCCAGCTATGTGACTGGTGCGCAACTGGTTTGATTCCAGGACCAGGAGGATTTTTCTCTACCAAATGAGCCAACTCCTGGCTAGCTGAGCTGGTAGAGAGCTCCACTGAAAATGGAGAGGTCCCTGGTTCGCACCAGTAGCCTAGCTGGGTTTTGCGTTCGTCCCTTGTCCCCCTTGTTCCCCTTCTTCTCCAGGGATTATTACCGACATTAAGGTGAAAGCCTTATACGTCTCATCGTACAGTTGCCAATCAAAGTCCTTGAGCTAAAACACGTCGGCGATGCGAAAGATACAAAAAGGTTTACATGACCACTCAGGCGAATTAGAGGCAATGAATAAAGAGAAATCAAACTGAATTAAGAGGAATTAAAGTGAGTGACTAGCAATTAAGGAGAAGTACGAGTAATCAATTGGAATTAAGGACTATAAAGCAAATTAAGAGGAATCAAAGTTAAGAGGAATTGAAGTGAATTAAGAGAAATTAGAGAAGTAAGAGTAATCAATGGGAATTAAGAAGGACAATAAAGCAAATTAAGAGGAATCAAAGTTAATAAGGAGGAATTAAAGTGAATTCAGGGGAATTAAAGAGGACTTTTGAGGATTTGTGTGCGTGAAATCTGGAAATAACACATAGAACAAATAAGAATGTCAAGAAAAGATCATGAAAAAAGAGAATGTAAAACAAAGTATATTGTGTGTGTCTTTAATGCATCGGCGCTTGGGCTTTCGTCTTCAAGTCCTCTTAGGGATAACATAAGAGACACTGTGAATTTTTCTTGTCCAGTTTGCTGCACTTTCACATTAATTAACAATAAAGAGAAACTTGAATTGTACAATTAAGGAGATTTTAATAAGCCCGGAAATCTAATGTGCAAAGCACTCAAAAGTCCGAACTGCATTCTTTTTTTAATTTTAGTAAATGAGAAAACGGCTTATGTGAATTCAAGCAGGAAGTACATTATACTTGACTCATTTGCATTACGCCCGTTTCGTATGGTACGAATTTTCTTGCTATTTCACAGCTGCCACGTTGAGCGCCCCAGCCTCCACCACGCTCTTCTTGCCACATGTACGAGCGACGTCCCAACTGCAAATTCGCAAGTAAAATCGCACTACATCAATCGGACATGCTCAGACAGCGCACCCTCAGCACCGAATTCAACCCGAGCGGTTTGGAAAACCCCCCCGTTCCAAGAGAACGCCCCTGCATCGTGCTTTGCATGCTGTCGCGCTGCGCCGAGAGAGAAGGCTGCCGCCGACACATCAATGCTAGGCTTGCCATGACAGCACAGATGGCTGTGACAGATTTCCCCAATTCAAAGGGGAACACCCCCAGACCGTGCGGGCCCAGACATCCAAACTACGCAAAAGCCATCGGCGCCAAGGCCATCAGATTTTTGCAGAGTGACACATATTTACTAGTAAAGTATGCGGATGTACCACCAGCAGTGGGTCCTCTTTTCTCATTGCAAACTTAAAAGGTGCACAAAAGACGTTTCTGAGGTAATTTGTTCTTGGCGATAACTCATTCTACGGGATCTTAGCATCCCAGAAATCAAAACCTTATGTTTGTGCGACATCTATTTCCCTACTAAAAATTGGATTGAAGTATTATGTGCCATGCCCCTTCCCGAGCGAAAAAATCTCAAGCAGAGAATTCAGTGGAGGCACCAGCCAATCGCAAGCCGCTGTTCCGAGAGGCTGCTTACGACTGGATGACAGGCGCCTGTCGTCATGCCACCGGCAGCTCCGCTGGATTCTGTGCTTCAGATTTTCCTACTCAGAAGAGGGCGTGGCACAAACTTCGATCACATTTTAAGTAGGGAAATAGATGTTGCACGAGCATAATTTTTCGATTTCTGGGATGCCAAGATCCAAAAAGAATGAGTTATCAACAAGAGCAGATGATCCCAGAAACGTCTTTAGTGCAAAAAGTCAAATTGGACGTTTTAGTGATTTATACAGCGTAAGGTTGCTCTGCCAGTAGGGGCGACGCTGGTTTACACTGTAGATGAGCAATTTTGCCAGTGTAGTACGACTGCTAACCTGGGGTCTTTAACGTGCTCACCAGTAGTGATACACGACCGAAATGCCGGTACGATGCTCATCCAGATCGAAACGGGCAGGGGTGGGGCTCGAACCCAGGATCCCTGGGTTCTGCAGCGCGAGCTTTCGCTCCACGCGCGTCGAGCTGGGTGTGCGCTTCAGCCCACTCGGCCACCGATCCCACCTTTAAGAAAATTGCATTTATTTTAAACACAAGACACCAAGTTCTGAAATGTGGCCATCCGATCCCAGCCGCAAGTACTACGCTATTTACTCGCACAATGAACGCACTCCCCACAATGGGTACCAATATTCAAACTTTTCTTTTTCCCTCATGTAACGAACACACCTCCAATTTTCCGCTACGCGAGTCTCGAACTGCGTCCTACTTAACTAGGCACCAAGCCAATCTTCTTTTGCCGCCAAGCAGTCAGGCAGGGTCAAGCAAAGCCAAGCTGCTCTCGTAATAGCTGCAAGTGCCTAGTTACGGAAGTGATCAACCGTGAAACCAAGTGGCACGCACACTTGACAAAGCTTGGGTCGAAGAATCGCCCAGCCCCGGACATTCTTCGCCTATCCGGTGTACTGATGTCAACAAACATGGCGTCGTCTGTGGTCGCTTTCGGACAGTGAAACTGTGAAAGTGGTTAGGCCTAAGAGCGGTCATGTCACTCTTGGTGCTGAGCAAGCTTTGTAGAGCGCTTTTCCTTCGGCAAGAGGCACGCCAAAAGCGCCCTATAAAGGCTTCCAATTTATAAAGCACGGTTACCGTAGTGCACCTCCGTCAGTGGAGACGTGCCACAGTACCTCGCCGTGTCATATTGGCACCTAACATGACATTTGCACAAAGTGGGTAAATGCAAAAAGTTTTACCCCACGTAATGAATGCACGCCCCAAATATGTGTCAATTTTTCGGGAGAAAAAATTCGCTCATTATGCGAGTAATGTGTGTGTATAATACCCATCCTTACTCAATGCTCTGGAAAAGAGCCTGTAATGTATTCTGAATAAATAAATAAATATATAAATAAACACGGGACATCTGGGCGGAAACCACGACATTCGGCCACACATTGTTTATTTTTACACAAAAAAAACCCGGGTCGTATTTTTCCCAAACACCCTGCACTGTGTAAGAGCTGGCAGTTGATGATATACTATGTATTTTTGTTTGAAGCACTTTTGTTCCATTAATTCCCTCTAACTCCTACTGGTAATCCATAACAAGACAAAAACAGGACTGAAGACATAAGCATTTATTTAGAACACCGTGCTTTTTTTTCTTCTTGTTTGATTTACGAAAAAAAAAAACACACACACAAAAAAAACAACCTCATTTCAATATTGATAACGAATTGGCCTCATTAAAAAATTAAAACATCGCACCACTCGACCAACGACAAAAACGTCACTTCGGGGGAGCGCGTCGCGATGGCCTCCTCAGAGTAGCTGTACATTCCAACAGGTGAACGATAACATATCCTTTGCGTGTTCAACAAATTGCCCCGCCCTCATGACCCCCATCTCTTCCCCTCAACATTTGCAACAAGTTCCTACGGAGTCCGCCATAGAGAGTGTAAAATCCCCTTGGACGCGGTACATTCCAAAGTAAACCGGCGCGCAAGTGACGACACCTAACACCCAACACCTTGGTTCACGTATTCAAAGAGCAAGCACCAAATTGCGAATTGAAAATCGGCTATTTTTTTCTTTCTTTAAAAGAAACATACAATTACTACCACTTTCGAGTGCGGGGAAAGAAAAGGAACACAATCAGCATTTCAGTCTGGGAACCAGAGAGATCCAGTGGTCACTTGTAAAAACGAGAGCATTAAAAGGCCAAAAAATGCTCTTCAGGAACAGACGGTTGTAAACGAAAGGAACGCTATAGAAAACGTCGCAGCAAGTGGTAAAAACCAAAGAAAAAAAAAAGGCAATCGACTAAAAGCGTTCGGTGACAAAGCAGGAAAGCACTCGCGTTATCAAAACAATGCCTCGCAATAAAAAAAAAAAAAAAAGATGCGTTGCATGAACATTGCAATGTTCGGAGGAAATGATATGTTAAAAACAAATTCTGGTAAAAATATCGCACGATAAATATAGGTCAAAATGCAGCATACAACGATGATGGTAAAAGAAAAAAAAAAAAAGAAGATCATTCTTGCGCTTTTTTTTTTCCTCTTCTCTTTGGCTGTACTCGGCACCCACAGAAAAACAGAACCAACAACACTGGGACGCCAGTTTTTAAACAATGTGGGTTGGTGCGCACGCACTGTCGTTCAGTGTCTTTGACGGAAGAACAAGTCCAACGTTCAAAGTCAACGGGAAGCATGGTTTCTCTAAACACGTGGCGTGTCCACTCGTCGACAGTGGCGGCGGCAAGTTGACGTCGGAAGGGCAACATGACCGTTGCGCGGGGTACACACCGAGATCGTGCCGTCCCGGAAGCAATTTATGTCCAAACGACATTTGGCGTGGCTTTGGCTATGATAACGATGGCTATGGCTCCAACATCAACTTCGACTCTGGACCATGCATCGCTCCTCCACCTAGGCTTTAACTCTGTCCTTGACCAGTCCTGGCACCGACCACGGCTTTGGCCCCAGCTTCGGCTTCAGCCCTAGTTAAGGCTTCGGCTCCGCAGCCTCGAGTCAACAGGGCTCCAGCCTTACGACAGGTTTCCACTGAGGCCACAATTCCGACCAACAACGTAAATACAATCGAGGTTCCAGGTTTAGTTTCAACTTCAGTTCCAGAGCCAGTTTCCACTCGGCTTACAGCTTCAGCTTCGGCTGCAGTCCTGGCTTCGGCTAGGCTTTGGCTCAACTCGAGGCCACAATTCCTTTTCTTTAATGTTAAATCCAATCCAGGTTTGGTTCTGATTTCAGTTCCAGGACCGGCTTTCGGCTTGCACGTTTTGCTTCAGCTTTGACTTCAGCTTTGGCTTCAGTTCTGGCTTCAACTTTGGCTTGGCTCGAGGTCCAAATTCCTTTTCTTTAATGTTAGATCTAATGGAGGTTCCAGATTTAGTTCCAACTTCAGTTCCAGGGCCGACTTCAACTTTAACTCCAGCTCCGGTACAGGCTCCACTTATGGCTTCGGCTTCGACTTCAGCTTCGATTTCGGCTTTGGCTCGGCCATAGCAGGTCCAGCAGGATGAGCTTTTTGGTCCTTGCAGACGACTGAAATGCGGCTTCCGCTCAACTTCCCAAACAACCTCCGGCAGAGGACGAAAGGAAAGCGGCGACGCTTTTGTCTGCTTTGCGCGGGATGGGGGGGGTGGGTTCAGGGCGTCATCTGCTTGACCGCGCCTTCAGTGGCCGCTAGGTGGTCGCTGCCGCGCTGCTTCTTGGAGGATATTTTGGTGTGCGCCAGGCACGGAGACGTCGTCTTTGGCCAGGGTGGTTTCCCGCACTCCGGGCGGCGGCGGAAGGCGCCCAGCAGCAGCGCCGTGAGGGCAACGGCTCTCCAGCGGAGCCTCCGCAGGGGCCGGCCCTGGGCGCCACTCTTGGCCGGGCGTGACGCTGCCGCGCGTGGTGGCGGGTCAACGACAGGTCACAGAGTCCGGTACGGCCCTTTCATCTTGAGGTACTGTGCCAGAGAAGAGGAAAACCCAGTCAACCCTCGACCCAGAGGTTAAAGACGTGAGCAGAATGCAGAAACTAGCAAGCACTGATGTCAGGGATCCCGAGAGAAAGAGTGAGAAAGAGAGCTACAGAAGAGCGAAGAAAGAAAGCCGACGAAAGGTTAGGCATGCTCGTTTTGCCGCAACAATCTAGAGTCTTTGAGTACTTGTCTACTTTGTTTGTTTATACAAAGTGCAACATTGGTGTTTTCTTGCAAATTAAGCTAGAAAAGAACCTTAAATGTGGTGCGTTGCCGCACATTTGTGTACATTAAGGCATCGCCGGCAATACGGGCCCACTGAGACAACAAATGTCCCCGTCTTCGTCTCACTATTTCGAAGCGGCCAGAATGCACGAGACTGTTCCCTCTAGCTTACTCTATGCCTCACCCAAATGGCTCTCGACTCTCGTTAGTTCCCACATATACCAAGTCCTATATTACATAACTGCCTATTCATCTCAGGGCAGGAGAAAATGGTGGACTCTTTTTCCTCCCGGACTACACTGTGTGGACCAATCAAAGCCCTACAAAACGCGCAGATTTCGAATGATTTTATTATAACTCATTTCAAAGAGAGTCTGATAGGTACACATTCGGATAAGACTTCTTTTTCGCCGCGGGCGAAGCCATTGCTTGCAACTCGCCGACAAGCGCCCTTCGTCGACCACTTCAAAGTTCTTCCCAAAAAAGGAGTGTCGCAATCTTTGAACACGCTTTTAACGAGGAAATAAGCTACGCATGATTAGAAATTTGGGCTTGTTATGATGCTTAGAACGTCTCGATTGAGTTGTCACCAGAAAAGGATAATCTCAGAATCGACTTCAGAGCCCTTTTAAGGCTGCTTCTTACACTCGCAACTGCTAACCACCGAGTGCATTACGACCCCTTGTGATATCTCACGACGAGATACCACACTGGCATGCTGGCGATGTCTATGAGGTGGCCCTTGAAATGCATTTCACTACAGCGAACGTTTTGCATAATTTGTAAAATCAAATGTATGTGCTGTCTGTGTGAAATGGTCGTTTATAACACTCAAAAGTTTTTGAGCCAATAATGAAAGAATCATGTGTAAAAAAAGCAGAAAAATAACGGAAGTCGCACGTGTTCCACGGCGACCTGATAGATGGCGTCAGTGCCTTCTCTCGTCGTAGGCGGTCACAAAAGGTTGTGATGCGCTCGGTTGTAAGCGGTAGCAAGCGCGTGGACGAGCCTTCATTCGACGATGCGAATTATGTGAGGCATTTCTTTTTAGAACCCCGAAACGAGGTAAAGGTAGCGACAGATATCTCAAGTATAAAAAGCACTCGTCCATGAACTGCAGGGTCAGCAAACACCCGGTCGTTCTTCGAGAATGTTTCAACCGCCATTCGGAAAGACGGGCCCCATTTTGCTCCCAAACAACTTTAAGTCCGTCTCCACAGTATCAAGTCAGTTCATCTTATCCGCGCCCTATTTAAGCAGCAGTTTTGCAGCTTTTGCAGCTTGTCTGATTGCCACACCGTCCCTGTTTCTGTCGGTGGTATTGTTGCTTTTGTACACGCATGACAACGAGGAATAGCTGCACCTGCGCTCCTCAAACTGTGGTCTGCAGGACCCCGGGGGTTCTTCGAGAGCATAGATAGAGGTCTATGCCACGTCAAAAAACATCTAAAAAAAAAAGCCCTCCTATGCTGTCGCACAAAACCATCAATGCAGAATGCGTAAAAGATCCCCGAACAGCCTCCAGTTCGTCGGACAGTCTGCGACAGCTGAAGGTCTGAGAACCACTGAGTTACACAGTAAAGAAGAAGGCAGAGGTGGTTGAATGGCATTGTAAGCATGGGTCGAATGTGAGCGCAACTTCACATCATTTCGGTGCGAACCGCAAGCGCATGAGGGAGTGGGACTCGAAGTTAGAAGTGCCGCTGCAAGAGTGCCACGGAAGTAGGAGGTATGCGGAGAGCGAGTTGTCTGCTTCTAGCGCAGGGGTTGCAATGACGTCAGAATGACGCCGAGTTCCGATTCGCTTTGATTAAAGGATAATGGGTAGACCTTAATGCTAGATGCTTCGAGGCCTACCCACTTTTTTCTTCCATCAGTTAATAAGAACTTGCCATTCTGACATCACTGTAATCCCTGTGCAAGAGGCAGACAAACTTGCGCTCCGTATATCCACAGCAGCCGTGCAGTTTTCAGTGAAAAAGTCGACGAGGGCCCGACGGATTTCGGATCGACGGGAAGGGTCATGGGACGAGCGGCGAGCAACCGGAGCCTCCGGAGGCACGCGAAGCAGCTTGCATGCTCCTGAAGCCATCGGACCCAATCTCGAGCTCGAATCTCCCGGCGCCCCGCCACTCTTTAACACGGCGCTCAGGTCCAATAGTTTGGCAGTTAGGCCTTCCCAAAGCTGCCCTTTCTGGCCACCAACCAGCCACACCGACTATGCGGAGCGTAAGTTTGTCTGCTTTTCTTGCAGGGGTTGCGGTGACGCCAGAACGCCGGGCTCTGATTGAGGGGTAGTGGGTAGACCTTAAGGCAGCTAGCATTGAGGTCTCTAGACTATCCGTCAATCAGAGCCAATCAAAGTTCGGCGTTCTGACGCCACCGCAACTCCTGCAAAAGAAGCAGACAGACTAGCGCTCTGCATACTCTGTCTTGCCGTCAACTTGGCAAATGACGAAGGCTACGGTCCCGGTGGGCCAATGAGTGCATCAGAGCGAGACACCGGACTATACTCTAAAGGCCCGTTCACACTCTTGCGACCGAGTACGACTGAGAGAGACGAGATCTCTTACAACTTCTTAAATGTTTCTAGAATGAGGGAACACACTGACATTGTGGCGCCATCTATGCGGTGACCCTAGAACTGCATTTCACAAAAGCGAAGGTTTTGCGGGATTTCCGAGGTCAAATGTGCGTAATACCCATAGAAAGGCTCGTTTATAACATTGACAAAAGTTTTTCGAGCCAAAAAAGAAAGGATATTGCGCGAGAAATAAAAACAAATATGCCGGACCGCCGATTTTACTCTGCTTCCCAATAGATGGCGCCAGTGTGTTCTCTGGTTTAAGAAGTTTTAAGGAACCCAGGTTTAAGAGGTCGCAAGCAGTCGCAAGAGTGTGAACGGGCCTTAACTCACTAATTGTGCACAACGCTGCCAAAGCGACAAGCGGGAGAAAGGGGAAAGCCGTTCCTGCACGAATTTCAAATGGTGTCCCATTCCCCTAGGGGGACAAAAGCGACAGCTGGGACGTGCAAAAGAGCGTCCGGGTGAGAAGGCAGTCCCTTCATCCCGTCTTCCCCAACTGCGCAGGTTACGCTCTCAACCCTGCACCTTCGGTAAGGGCCATTGCGTGTTCTACCCCTGTTGTTCCGACTGGCTTGAGGAGGCCATAGCGCTCACCGCCTGCTGAGTTACAGCGCAAAACTGAGGTGTCTCGTGTTAATTGCCCGGGGCTACGGGCAACAAAATAATGGTACCCGCGAGACAATTAAAGAAAGGAGTACGGACACCCTAAGTGCAACTCATTCAGGAACTCCGATCGATGTAATAGGGAGGAAACATGACGAGAAACGGCACATGAAGGGACGGGACAGAAAGAAGAAACACGGGACAAACACGCGCCGGCTCGCAACCGAAATGTACACGGTAGCTTTGGCGGATCCGATGCCGTAAAACGAGCCGGAAAAACCGGCACCCCCACACGGAGAGCTCGCACTTTTGGCCGAACATGCACCGAGCGGGTCAATTTTATTGCGCGAAATTTCAAGGCCATAGTTCTCTTCCCGTAAAAAAAAATGAGAGCAAGAAACTTGCCGAAGTCGAGGTTGGGCCCGTTCACAAATGATGAAATTGGTGACACTATTAACTTGTGGCGCCGTCTACCGACGGGAGTGGCGAGCATACGACGAGGAGCGTCGTCCGCTCGCTGCGCCTGACGGGAGGTGGTGCCGCAAGTTAATAGCGTCGCTGACTCAATCGTCTGCGAAAGCACCCAGCATTGACATTGTGAAGTTTCCTGCTCCAATTTCTTACAGGAACGGAACTATGCCCTGAAATTTTGCACGGTAAAACCGACCTGCTTGACACACGTTCGGTGAAAGTGCAAACTTTCCGTTCTTTTGGCCCGCTTTACGGTATCAGATTCGCCGGAGCCACCCCATGTATTAAAGAAAGAAGGAAAATGAGGGGGCGATGAAGCAGAAAGGGAGACCTGGATGACGAGGGAGGGCCCCCCGTTGACGATCTCAGGCGGGATCTGGGAGAGGGGGCAGTTCTCGATGCTCATGATCTGCAGGTTGGAGCAGAGCGCCAGCTCGAAGGGCAGGCTGTGCAAGTTAGGGTTGTCGTTGATGTACAGGGACTCCAGGCTGTCCAGCGTGCCTGCAAGGAGCACAAGGCACCGAATCGGTGCTTGAGCGAAGCTACACTTTGCGCAGAGAGCGACCACACCGACTAGCGACACCGACTCGGAACACGAAACAAACAAAGAGGCGTGCACGACACCGAGTTCACGTTCAAGTTCGTGTTTCGTCGGTATAGACAGCCAAGTCAAGAGAAGGACGGCAACTGCTCCATCGGGGTCACGTGGTTTGTAGGCCACGTTTGCAAAACGAGCCGCGGCCTGCAAGGAGTCAAAAGCATTCACCGTCTGCAAAAAGGTCTGCCTCTCCGCCCGGTTTCTTCTCCACGCTGGCCACGAGACAACAAATGCAGGCACACTTACATCGATCTGCCCAAGATGCGTCCGCCATTAAATTACACAAGCTCTCCATGGTTACAGTTGCTCCCGCTCTTACATCTAGGCTCTCTCTGTCGGTACCACGTTGGTCGGTACCTATACGTTGTCGCGCCCCAAACACCCCTTCGTCACGCCACGATGCCTTCTCCGTGTGCGACGTGGAAAAGCCGTTTCCCAAATAACGGGCGTGGAGGAGATGATGATACAGAGGGTGCTGCCGGCAGCCTTTGCAGGGCACGTCTGTGGCCCATTCTGGGTGGTGCCTCGGCCGCAAAAGCAAGATGCGGAGGTCTGCGACTTGGTAAACTTTCCAAATTTGATTATTTTATAAATTATCAGAACATTTCTCTTTGTTTTATCTGCTGGAGCCCTTAATTTTCCTTCGCTAAAAACAGACACAATTACACTGAAAAAGCGCAAATGGGAATGGGAAATTGTGATCGCTTCGCTATAGCTGCTATTTTGTTATAACGGACTTCAATATAAACGGTCGTGACAGTAGTGAGAAAAATGTAGAGGGGAAGAAAACTGCCTTAGATGAGCGAAGGGAGGCAAAATGCTTGCGATTTCTAGGTTAGGCGGCGCAAGCTACCACCTGTTATAAAGGGTACAGCAATTAGCATCCATCCATCCATGTAACTTTTTCAAATTTGAGGAATAAAGCTGGTTTTTGACAGGTTCCAAGAAGTTTGATAATGTGAAATGAATGCCAAAAAAACACACACCAGCAATAATAATAATAAAAAAAAAAGCACGAAATATTGTACTTTTCAGACTGCCTGAACTATTTAAAAGTCATACAACACTCGACGTCGCATTACCGGAAAGCGCAGGAAGGTTTCATTATTGGTTTCAGCATTACCCTTTTTTTTTGCTGTTTTCTCAACAGCCGTTTTGGATTTAGAGACAACCAATATCGTGCCGTAATAAATATTGTGCCAGGACATTCCGAAAATGCGTTTAGCTCAAATAGTTAAGAAATACCACCGGGCATGGCTAACCATGTTCACGCTCGTCGCATTTGTAGTTCAGACTAGAGCGCTCTCAAAAACCGGCAGGTAGGCCGAAGAAGCAGAAAGAACCGCTCCAGCTCGTGTAGTCCGTGACAGTACCGTGACGATGGGTTGGAGCGCGCAACTCTACTTTCGTCGATAGAGCGAGAACAGTAGAGCCTGCCTTTTGAATGTCGAGGTTTGCAAGCTCCCGCCGGAGGCGGGACGACCCAAGCTGCCCCGCCCCCCCTCACTATCCTCGCCCTGTCGGCGATGACTCTGGAAAACCCTCGATGCTTCTTTGACCCACAGACTCAAAGGGGGTGTTACGCCACTCACCGATCTCCTCAGGGATGAAGTTGAGGTTGTTTTCGCCGACGCCCAGGTAGGTGAGGTTGCTGAGGTGCCCGATGGCGCGCGGCAGGCTTGACAGCTGGTTGCTCTGCGCCACCAGCTTCTGCAGCTCCCGCAGCATACCTGAGTCGGAGAATGCGCAAACTTCTTGGGATGCCATCTACGAGTGCCCAAAGGGTCCCGTGACACGTGACATCGTGCAACACGGTGTGACACCGTGATGTCACGCGAGACTTTGGACACGTGACACGGCGACGGACGTCTTTTTGTCCGGGGGCAAGAGCCCGTTACGGTCGTCGCCTTAAAGGTCCTTCTCCGAGAACCCACCAATCTCGTTGGGCAGGGCGTCGAGGCGGTTCTCCTCAAGGTCGAGGACGCGCAGCTTGGCCAGGCTGCCGATGGTCGGGGGCAGTCTCCTGAGCAGGTTGTTGCTCAGGGTGAGCACCTCCAGGCTCTGCAGGTACTGGATGTCGTCGGGCACCTTGCTCAGCTGGTTCGTGCCTAGGTTCAGCTCCACCATGTTGGTCCAGGTGCCCATGTCTGCACGTGACGTAACGGTCCTCTTTACAGGCTCGGGAGAGCGGCGGCACCAGACGCTGGGCGCTGGACTCTCCAAGAACACTTTTAACGCAGAATATATTTAAGGCTTGGGATACAGTTACGAAATGTCCAGCACCTACCTCGGAGGACAATCTCTACAAAAGAATGCGTAATTAAGAAGAAATAGTAATTAACCGAGAAGAACAAAATTAGCAGTGTGATCTGATGAGAACCGAACCTGCGACCCAATGGGAATCAAACCTGCGACTTGATGGGAATCAAACCCATAACCCGATGGGAACGGAAACCACAACTCTACTATTACGAGCTCGACGCTCTACCCCTGTACCAAACGGGAGACTCACGATTAGTGAGTAGATGCAGAGTGATTAGTGAGTAAATGCTTTTGTCTCTTCTTACTGTTCGAATGCAAATGGCAAACGTTAGCGTCTGGCATTCGCGTCTGAACGGCAAGCAGAAACAAAGACAGCTAGCCTTTCCGTCTGCCCACCAATTATTCCGACCGGAGTTCGACACTCCGACACCCCCCACGCACTCTCGTCTCCTCCCTTTCCCAAGTTTCTACCAGTATAACCAAAGAAAATTGAAATAAAATGAAAATAGCTGCAGTGCCTGGCACAAACTCCAAAGGATGGCACGCAAACACATTCTGTGTGTAGCAACTTTATCCCTAGGACCGAGATAAATTTTGTTTCGTTTTATGTGCCTCGAAAAGACACGTGTCTCACACAACCAACTCCTCCCCAAAAAGATTGTTAGCATAATATTTATGTTGTGAAACTCATATTGAGTTAGGAGTGATTCGGAAACACCCTTCATTTTCGGTGTTGACATCCCAACTACGCTCCGTCTCACCGTAACTCGGCAAACGACGAAGGCTATGGTCTTGGTGAACGGAGACGCATGACCATACACTATCTCACTAAATTCTATTTGATGATAACTTGGCGAAAAGCAAAGGCTGCGGCCCCTGCGATCCAACAAGAACGTCAGGGCAAGTCACATGGTAACATTCCACGGTCGAGGAGACCAAGTCATCGTTACCGCCACAGCAACAGCACCGTCCGCGACAAAAAAGTAGTTATAGACTTCTTTTTTTTTTAACAATTTTTGAACTCGCACAATTCTATCTATATTGAGAATATATAAAAAAAAAAGGATTAAATATTGACAAATACATGAGCTTCAATTATATTTAAACCAAAAAAGTAATGTCACATCCGTATTTGCTCTCGATTTTTTTTCTTTTCATAGCGCCGTGGACATTGGCGATCGCAGCCGTGTGATCGGCTGCTTCAGCTCAAAACATCGCCCTGGCATTAGCACTTACCACAGGTTCGCAAGTAAATAGAGCGTACAGTTGTCTCAAGAAACGATACCGAAGGGCTCACTACTCCGGTGGATGGCGATGTTGCGGCGGTGGAAGTTTGTCCGAACTTCGTTGGTTTCGCGGCAGATGACTCTTGGACAGCGGGCGACAGTTGGTTCCTTAGCGCAGTGGCACCTACGCTCCCGCGACGTGGTGTCGCGTGCCTCGCTTCGACATTCGTATCCGATCGCGGTTGTCGTAGCCTCCACAGTTCACCAAGTTATCGTGAAACGGAGCAATAGAAGCACGTTTTGAATTCGCTCCTGCCTCAAAACAAGTCTTGCGGTGTAAATGTTGCATTGAAATAATATTTTTTCGGGAAAAGTTGAATTTGTGACATGTGTGACCCGACCAGGCACATTAAAACAAACGTTTCTCGGTAGGTCGGCGTCCCTCCAACTTGGATGAGGTTCGGTTTTCTGAGGGGAAGACTCTCACCGCAAGGACCGGAACCCGCACCCCCCGACTGCGTCTCTCAACATTCAGCAACCTTTCATAAGCAAAGTTTTTTTTTTTTTTCTAAAATGTGTTTTAGGAGTTAGGTTTTTGTTTTCGAAGGAATATAGTGTAAGGATAGAGTGAATGCAGAGGTGTTTTTTTCATCATTTGATAGGAGCATGTACAGCAAGCTCTTCAGGCTGAGAAGCATCCAATAGAAATATTGAGGGAGGAAAGTAGTCACCTTCCTTCTGTTTGGTTTCATTTTGGCCCGTCCGCTTGTGCGACATTCCGGCGGTCTCAAACTCCGAACCCGAGGTAATTTCCGGAGCTTCTCCTCCGGATTATGGGCTTTCGTCCTCTGAATTCAATTCTCAGAAGTGTTAAAAGCCTGAATCGGAAGAGTCAGCTGTCGCTACCGCCAGCGCAGCCGACACTCGAAGCAACTATCCAGCGCTGTCACATGCGCAAAGAGTTTTTCTTAACTATAAATAGCCCCAGCAAGGCGAAACGTGGTGCATATACCACGTTTACAGCTCACCAAAGACAAAAGAAATATCTGCACCTCCCGGGGTGTGCAGTTTCGCATTAGGTGAGAACCTTAAAATGTATGATCGCCACCATACATGTACAGCAATGACCGTAGAATGGACGAGGTTCGGTTTCCTGCGAGGAAGACTCCAAACGTGCAGGGAGGAGAACAAGTGCGGTACTCACCCAGGGGTAGGGACGTGAGCTGGTTGTCCTTCATGTTGAGTTTGGTCAGGTTTCGGGCCCTCGAGAAGATCCCAAAGGGGATCTTGTTGATCTGGTTGTGCTCCATGTTGATCGCCTGCGCCCGACGAACCGAGATTGCGCCTCCCAGACTTCCAATGCCGTACGATTTCACCGCCACTACAATGCCCGGTACGCGCCTTCAACCGTCGTGTCAAGCGTCCATAACAGCCCGTGCATCAAAAGTGGTCGTAAAGTGACAACCAAAGGCGTCGTGGGAGCCAGCGTGTGATGCCGTCGGATGCCGCAATCCCGGCAGTCGCTCGTACAAGTTGTAACAAAAAGGAAGAACAAACGCGAGGGTCGCTGCTGTCGCAGCACCCCAGCTCACAACTGCCAAAGCTTTGGTGGACTGTCAAGCTGGACGCCGACCTACGGCGGAAGTGGCGTCTGCCACACCCTCCTCCGCCACAGTGCCGCCGCCAAGATAGCGGAAGGCACGGTGTAAGATATATCTGGGTGAGGACACGCGGCACGGCAAATGCCAAGACACGATCGACCAGATAAAGTTCTCTCGGCGCATGCCAGAGTGGCCTCTACCAATGGAGATGACGACTCCGAGAAAAGAAGAAACAACCAAGACTGAAAAAAGTGTCTCGCTCCGGGGTGCACTCTTCCCACTTGAAGCGCCTGCTCCGACCTTGACGGACGCTGGCTCGAACACTGCACTATAGATTTCTCCACCTCAACGCATTCATAAAGCCGTCATTGCTGCCGTTGAGGCACGAAACTAGAGTCGACGACAAAGCGCGTCTAAGCAACACACGTAGCGCAGGTGCCAAGTCCTTTGTGACACAGCACACCCAGAAAAACCAACTGTGTCTCCCATACAGAAGCATCGGAAACCGGGCCCACAAAAGGCTGGCATTAGCCGCACATTGAGGAGTCATCTAGTGACGCAGCTTGCAAGCAAGACGAGGGGCGAACTCTAGTTGGCAGCTGCGGCACGCCGTGTCCATGGCTGAATATATCTTACTCAGAGGCGGCAGGCAACAGCCTGACAATTCTGTGACATCTTCGCCCAGATATAAAGACTGCAAACGAGGACGCCGTAAACAGATTAGTCGGAGATGAGTGTGTTTACGGTGCCCTACCGCCACCCCCTCCCCTGAACTGCTACACGTCATCTCTTGTGGCATCAGAGTAGCGCAGCTATGGCATCAAAGATCAACGCACATCGTAAAACAGCAAAGGGAGTAGACATTTATAACATAAAGATGGGGTAGGCAGTTGCTCAGGATAGGGTTGCGCACCCAAAGTGTATCAGAAAAAATATGGGGTAACTGGTAGTACAAGCACGGCTGCTATAGTTTGTTTTACTTTATGTGCGACCTAGCCGAAGTTACGAGCGCGTGCAAGTTGACCCGAACGACGCTTGCACTGCGCAAGCGTGCGGGCTCGGTAGAGACGCTGAAAGTATGGAGCTCACTTTTGTAGCTCATGCTACGTTCGCGCTCAAAGTGAAACGGAATACGGCACGAGCGTGGGTGCTATCACGGGCATTGGCTGACCGCTCGAGATTTTACGGCACGCTAACAACCGATGACGTAAATTAAAGCAGGATCGCCTCAGTTCCCGGCTCTCAATCTGCGCCCTCAACCTCGGCAAACTGTGGTGCAGCAAGAAAACAAACTTTGGCTTCGTGCGTATGCTTGAAGCGTCGTCGAAGGTGAGGAGCTCACGCTGGAGGTGGGACGACTGAAACTTCTTCCAGCTGTCCTTGTCGCGTCAGTGACTGCAACCGCCGCAATACGCGCCGAAATATTCCTAGCGACGGCATTGTACCGAGGACTTCCCCACACCCGTCGGAAAAACAGACGCCCGATCGCAATTGCTGCCAAGCTCTCCCGTTCCCCGTTTAGAAACTGCAACGAACATTCGCGGCAAGTGCCGGAACGTGAAGACGGCGTGTTGCAAACTCACGTAGACGCTGCAGAACTGGGACGGACCACCCACGGGGTAAGACGTGAAATTGTTGCGCGACAGGGTCAGGCTGCTCAGGTTGCTGAAGCTTGATAGAAGCCCCTCCTGAAGCGTGGAAAAAAGATCAACAATGAGCTCGTTCGATATGGGTCAAGCAAAATGAATGTTGAGAGGAGGCATCAACTAACAACTATTCATCTCGTACAGGCCGCCGTCGTAATGCTGATGTCTCTTGTAATGTCTCAGTAATATGGACATCTCAGATTTTCCTAAAAGTCATCCGTAATAATAAGACAAAAATGTACCTACTGTCAAATCCCATAAGGCCGACCACCCAAAATTAAGAGATAAATGGTGAAAAACATGAGGTGGGCTACCTTTGGGAATAGGATGACAAAATGTGATTAAAGATTAATGAACACAAGGTGCACCCGCTACAAACCACGTCCCCCTCAAGCACTCGTTGGCCCAACGCCCGCTCCTGCCCCCCTGCCATGCCCCTACCCTCCATTGTACCGCCCTAGGTATGCCACCACGCCTACAGCATCCAATCCTGTAATGGGGCAGCCTGCTTCTGTGGAAATGCATGCGCAACAAACTGTTCATGTGCTGTTACGCTGTCATGTGCGCCATGAGAGAGGGCTGCTATTAATGCACCGAGACACCGAATCACTGAGACAGCAGAGACGGCCGTCTACCATCTTGAAGGGTTCCCATCCCATCGTACAAAACGTAGGAAACGATTCACAGTTTTTTTTTCGCTCACCGGCAACTGAGACACCAGGTTGCTTTCAACGTTGAAGTCCGTCATGTTGACGCAGTTGCTCAGGGACTTGGGCACCGAAGTCAACTGGTTATACCTGAACGAGAATGGAGGGGTGTCAACGTTGGATTACATTGACGCTTCTAGGTACGGTAATGCACCCCACGCATCTGATTTTGGTCCCTGACGGAAAAGAGCTTTCTCGGCCGCTAATTTGACGTGCCATTACGGTTTTCTACGCGCAAGCGTCGTTGACCGATGAGAAACTTCCTACTCATTTGCGAGTCCACAATCAGGCAGCATTTTGGCGGGACATTCACGCTAACACAAGGGTGGTGAGAGGTCTTGCAGTTTCCAACGTGCTTGTCCCGAGTACTCCTTCGTCTACCGGTGGATTTCAGCTCGTGTACGGCGGTAGAACGACTTGAGATTTGAAAAGGCAGCACGGGCTGCCTACTGCTTCCAACGCGAAATAGCGGACAATATCACATCGTTGTGGCGCTCCATTCTTTTTTTTTCTTCTTCGGTTTGTTTCCATTAGCGGATGACTTCAACATGCTTTAATTCCGTCTCCAAACGACATTTTGTAGCAAGCAAACCCCATTCTTTGCTCGCATTAGCGGACAAACTGCCTGCGAACGACTTCGGCTCATGGGCTCCCAAACTTTTCTATCTTGGTGAATGCTTATCTGTCCAAATTTGTAGCCAAGGAACCCCTAGCGGTCTCGGCATTAGCATAATTAAGCAATCCGGAAGCCCATAGATTTTGCAAAATTCAATGCACATATTGGCGAGTGTGTGCCACATAGTTATGCATCAACAGACGGCTCAGTTGTTCTAATATGGTGCTTGAACTGTCAGAGCACTTAACAGTGAAACACCAGTTGAAAAAACTAGACAGATAAACAAACTTTCGTAAAACTCCCAAACGAAACACCATTGTGTAAAATGCCTTCAGGAATGAACTTTCACCGGAGCAAACTTTTTCTTGATCTCCCTTTAAGTTTGTTCAAGTGGTATTTCACTGTATGCCCCCCCCCCCCCAAAAAAAAAAAAAAAAAACTTGCCATAAAACACCGGGCAAGCGCCCACTCAAAATTTAGAGATAATCGCGAAAAAATGGGGGATGGGCGCTTGTCCGGTCATCAATTTTACATATCAATGTACTGTGCATATTTTCTCAGATCTTACAAATTTGGGTATGGGCGCTTAGTGTGGAATGGGCGGATGCGCGGTTTCTACGGTAGTGCTTTTTTTCTACCGCAAAAATAAACTACGGTATGCATCTCCCGATGCTCATCCTCCGCCAAAATGTGGTGCAAGCGTTCTGAACCAGATGCCAAACTTTCAGAGCTAACCGTTATCTTAATCAAAAGTTATAAATGGTAATCAAAAAATTTCAATTCTAAGATGTGGCCCATTTCAAACCATTTTTGCTAATTGGTGCCATTCAGCTCTATGTGTTTGTAAGCTCCGTCGGCCGTCATTTTTTTATTGAAATGTAAAAGAAATCACAACTTTTGAATGAGATAACGGTTCCTTCTGAAATCTTCGCATCTGGTAAGGGCCACTAGCGCTACATATAGGCGGAGAATGTGCGTCCAGCGATGCCTAGAATATTTTTGTAAACCTTTTTTGGGGGGACACCCTGTACTTGGGGACAGGGACGGTAGAAAAGACTTGGGAGGAACCCCTGGGGGTACTGTGGGGAACCCCTGGGGGTACTGTGGGGAACCCCTGAGCGTACTTGGGGAATCCCCAATGGTATTTTGGAGGAACCCAAGAATTCCCAAGTACCCAGTTTGAGAACTAAGCTCTCTCCGCAAGAGCCAAATAAGACTTTGCTCCCACGATGACCGAAACTGGAATCCAGGAGAGCCCTTGGGAGACACTTGCCTGAGCCCTAGCCGAGTGAGCACCTTGAGGTTCCCTATCGTCTCGGGAATGTCGATGAGTTCATTGTGCTGGACGTCGAGGGTCGACAGCTGGACGCAGTTGCCGATCTCTGCGGGCACCCAAAACGAAAGACCCCGCGTCAGTTTTCAAAACGAGAAATGGAGGTCCCTTCCGACAAACGCTTGGAGGTCCTCGACGGCCAAGCAGTGCGAGTCAAAGCGATTGTCGGTTATTTGAAGACGGGAGCAGACACAGCAAATCGTAACTGCTTACATCCGTGGTCCCGAGAGAATGAATGAGGAAGAGAGCGACAAAAAAGCGACGAAAGAAAGCAGACGATAGGTTAGGCGCGTTCGTTTTTCCGCGACGAGTTGAGGTTGTTCGAGCACTCGTCGGCTTCATTTACTTTTATAAATCACGCGACGCCAATGTTTTTGTGCAAAATAAAGCTAGAACAACACTAGATACAGACCTTGCAAGCAGTTTTCCTGCTTTTCTGTGTATATCAAAGCCTTGCCAGCAAGCAATATGGTTTCATCGGGACGACCAATGTTTGCGTCTATGCTCCGCCATTCCTGAGCGGCCGAAATGCCTGGGGCCTTTCCCTTTTCATTATTTACCATATTTGCTCATATAATAGCTGCATTTCTAATGAACAAGGGCCTTGCGTCTAATTTCCTGCGAAACACATATACAGCCAATCATTGCCTTCTTCGAAAAATGCAGCGAATAACAAAGTCGTAAACATGATTCTCTGTAAAAATGCGATCTGAGCAGATAGCATTTTAGCGTGAAGACGTTATCTCTGTCCGGTAAATCGCCGGCATTTTTCTGCCGGTCGTAGTGATTCGGTATCCCCATGCTCCGCGGGAAAGCAGATCCACAGGCTCTGTTCATAAACAGTGTGGCTATTACTTGAGAAAATACTGTATATTGACTCTATGGTTTGAAGGAACCGCATAAATCCATTTTTTAACATATCCCTCTAAATTTCTGCACAGGGGTGGCCGAAGGTGCCGTAATCTGTGCATAGAAATTTTGAAGAATGGGCTTACCCGAGTAAAAACTAACAAAGTAAGAGTGAATTCGCTAGCTTTGGCGGCACTTAAGATTGCAGGCGGACCCAACTGCCCCAGTGTCAATTGCAGCGTGGGCTCTTTCGGTGTTGTGGGTGACCTTGTTAGTTTTACTAGGGTAACAAAGACACCGAAGAGGCACAAAGACAATAAGAAACATTTTTTCTTGGGCTATTTCAGCTACAGTCGCGCAACACAAACGTCTCTCCCTTGTAGACGAGCCCTGTAAGTAGCGAATTCACGCTCTTAATTTGCTGCTCTCTAATTGGGTAAGCTCATCCTTTGAAGTCTTGATACATAATATGCACAGTTTTTGCCCATCTCCGTACAAAATCCTTAACTCGATACATTAATAAATCGCTTGATGCGGTCCCTTCAAACAGCCATCAATATCTTTGACTCACGTGGTAGAACAAAATGAAACGAAAAGCGAGAACCTGGGCACAGTGTGTGCGTTTCAGCAAATACTTCCAAAAATTTCTACCAATAGGGAGGTTAAAGAAGAAAAGTAAACTCTTTTTGAGAACAAACTGCCAGGGACTGCAAAAACCATACCAATTAGCAAAATAACCAACTAAAATGTACTAATTAACTTTTTAATGCACGAAAATAAACCGGCAATCCAAAAATGCAGACGGTAAGAATATTGTCTGCGTTTTCACATTGTCAGCCTTCCGCTTGCTGCACGAAAGGCAACTTTAGCACACTTCAACACTTCGCACGTGCTTCGAATCCTCCTAAAATTGGCAGATTTAGGGGTTTTCGACAACACTCACAAAGTTTCTAAATAAAATACCCTGGTCATTTTCACTCATTGAAAAGATAATTATATAGCTAATTAGCATGTTTTTTTGCAATCCCTAACGTTCGCTGCGGCTGGCAGTTAGTTCCCGAAAAGAGTTTTCCTTTTTCTGAATCACTCTACCGACAGGAATTTTAGAAGGTTTTTGCCGAAATGTCCAGCGTAAGGAGCGAAATAAATAAATCAGTTAGCCAAGTTCGAAATGACTCCCCTCCTCTATCTTGTTCTTGAAATTGAGAAAGCTTCTTCGCTTTTCCCTCATTAGAGCCTTCGACTTACACAAAATTATTTTTCCTTTTCAGCATTTTCTTTTCCATTTCAAAGAGTGGCGTCTTCAGCAGGACTCGACTCACCCGTGGGCAGGTGCTTGAGCTGGTTGTTGGAAGCGTCGAAGGTGATCAGCTGAGTCAGCTTGCCAATGCCAGCCGGGAGTTCCCGGATCTTGTTCTCGCGCAAGCTCAGCATCGTCAAATTCTGCGCCCGCCCACAAAACAGACGCCCATCAGCGACGAAAGATGCGGTCGCCCGACATTCCCAATTCCTAGAGTGCACACAAATTACGGACAGCGTTTGAAAAAATATTATGTTCCCTTGTATTTCACTGTGACCGACTGTGACTTACGATCGAGCGTCCTAAAACTTCTCGGGACCTCTTACGACGAGAGAACAGATCGGTGCCACCTATTGGGTAGTCGTGGAACCCTCTGCATTTCCGTACATTTCGTAATTCTTTTGCCCATCGTAGTTTCTTTTTCGGCTTGAAAAGCTTCTGACAACGCCACAAACGACCGTTTCTCATAAACCGTACGTAAATTTATCTCGCAAATACTGCAAAAACTTCGCTCTAGTGAAATGCAGTTTCAGAATCGCCTCGTAGATGGCAGCAGCGTGTTCTCTTGTCGTAAGTAAGGGCTTACGAGAACTCTGTCGTAAGCAAACGTAAAACAGAAATTGAAGACGAGGCGTTCCCCAAAGGTCGTTTGAACCGTGATGCCGCCTGATGTGCGCTATGCTTTCTTTCTTTCTTTGTTGTAGCACTATTGCTTTCGCTGCCACTGTGTTGATGTTTTGAGCATACTGCAGGGTGCCGTTGTCCTACGCACGAGCGCTCGCACGCTTACGTGGGCCATTAAAACTGCCGTTAAAAAGTGTGGTTAAATCAACTACTATTATTAATATTATAAAATTGACCCTTTATAGACCACTTCTTTGCGACAGCCGCCGTGTTAAATTCTGACGTAACCGAACTGGGAAAAAATAGCAAACCTCTTTATTTGACGACTGGAAGGCACTAGAATGCAAGGGGTCCGTGCCAATGGTTCTACTTTTTTTCTTGGCTATACTTTTTTGATTGTAGTTATGCTTAAACTATTTACAGTTTTTGTTGCCCAACCCAACCATGTCATATTTCAAAGTGGCAATCGTCACAAGAAAACGGCCCATAGGCTTTCTCCATTTACCCTTATCCTCGGCAGTGTCGCTCACGCATCCGGCATAGACGACAAACAAGGAAAGCAAGACGTTGCAACCCGGAACAAATGGAAACAAATCTAAAAGAGGCGAAACAAGGATTGACAGTTGCAATAACAACGTTAACGCCTTTCGGTTATGTGGCGAAGGCAAAATGACGTTTCCGCACACACCGGAAGTCCCAAGATTCAAGATGGCAATAAGTATGTGGAAAAAATCCGAGCAGAAAACAAAACTTCAGTAAAACAACCGCAGGAGAGGAACAGGCAGGAAACTCGTTAACCCTTCAACTGGCACATCAGCAATACCGTAGACCTAAGAAAAAAATTTGCAAAACAAGACGTGTTCGAAATACAAATCTGTGCCGCTAAATTTAGAGTTACTGAGACACAAGCTCTTCATTATATCTGATAAATACAAGGTGTACTTTTTTTTTTAGGCTTCACAGACATTTTCTTAATGAGCTGTGAAAGCTACATGTATGCAGTCAGTGCAGGCAAGTTGTACAGCCAGGAGGACATGTTATAGGGGGCTAATCGTCATGGTAACTCGGCTAGTTACCTAAACTTTTTAATTAACTTCATAATTAGAACAAGTAAACAAATGGTTTTAACTAGAAACTTACTGATCATCACCGAAAACCACCAAGTCAGTAATTTTTAGAAAGACTCGAGCACATAGGAAGTGTGGTCGTATACTAAAGCTACCACTCGTGTCACAGGCACAGGGCTAGCATATTGAAAACACACCCGTGCAATCTTCCTGTTTCTTATTCGTGTTCTCACTAGCGTTCGCTTTAGTAAGAACGAAATACAACATGAAAACAGAAACAATAGAATCAGCAGAAAGGTTTCACTCACGGTTAGGTTGGCTATGTTGTCTCCGACTTCCCGTATCCTGTTGAACCGCAGGAAGAGTGTCGTCAGCGACGTCAGACGGTACACCACCTCTGGGATCTGCGTCGAGGAAAAAAACGAGCAGACGGGGAAACGTGTGAGAAGAGGCCCTTGGCGGTACCACCCACCGACCAGCCACAGCTCGTAAGGCCCAATCAGAAGAGGAGAAATTGGACTTTCAGAGAGCATGTCCGCTCACACAAGAATAAAATTTACTTCCACTCAAGGTAGGGTGCAAATAAAACGCACTCCCAGAGCAGCGCCCCACCTTGTCGAGCTCACTGTGCTCGAGCTTGGGCACCCTGAGAGTGGCCTTAAGTGTCCTAGAGAGCGCCCCAACAGAAACCCAGATCGCCCCGAGGGCACCCCAGAGGCCCCCCCATTGAGAGCAGTAGGGAGCCCCACCTCGTTGAGCTTGTTGTGCCTGAGGTCGAGCACCCTGAGCTGCCTGAGGTGTGCCAGGGTGTCAGGCAGGCTGGTGAGGGAGTTCTCCGACAGGGCCAGGGTCTGCAGGTTCACCAGGCTGCCCACCTCCCCAGGCAGGGTGGCCAGCTTGTTGCCGTACAGGTAAAACTCCACCAGGTGGCCCAGCTCCCGCACAGACGACGGCAGCACCGTGATCTGCACGAGGCGTTCGCGACATCCTTCTCTGTACCCCACATAACCGCGTTCTAAAGGGGCGATCCAAAGATTTTCGAACTTTGGACAACTAACCACGAGAATAGGCCTGTGTCACCTACAAACGAAAAACCGAAAAACATTTTTTCTTTTGCGTGCTAGTTTTTATTTTAATCAATGAAACAAATCAAATGTCTGAGTACCCCTTAACTCACACACCATCTTTTCGAGTGATATCACTAGGAGTGAAACCTGGGTTCTTGTTAGTGTCGCCGAAGCGATCGAGACAGAAGTCTGTTCGCCACAGGGCTGACAACGAGTGCAACAGCGGAGCAGGACTGGTTTTGTCGACTTCCGCGTACCCCAATGACGGGACACCGTGATTCCCATAACCCCCGCACATGGCTGCAGATTGACAAAGAAGGAGTTTTTTCCTTCGTGATTATGGGGCGTAACCGCAGTATTTCGGGGGAAGGTGGCACGATTTCTCTCGCTTGTGCTAACATAAATAATACGAAAAATACAAGCTGCTAATTATTTTTGTGTTAAAATCATTGCACCGACCTTTTACGGGGCTGATGCGTCGAAGAACAAAAAGAACGAGAGCAACCCGAATAATTCTACAAAAGGCAATGCGTGCAAACAAGATTCAATGCCTGCTCCGTGCTCGATTGCTGTGAAACGTCTTTTTCGTAGACTCGTCAGCCAAATTAAAATAACTGATTCATAGACTTTTTACTGAGGTTGTGCAACGAAAGTAGCAGCATAGAACCTAAATCTCCTTCTCTGTCTCATGCGTCAACGACCCTGCAGTGTCAAACACTAATTGCCCTTTTTTGGAGGGGGTTTCGTTTGTAGGGAGCTAATAACATTTACTGTTTTCATCCAATAAACAGCCTAAGCCACAAGCGACACAGACGCCGAACTCTAGGGCAGGTTTTTATGCCCATACCCTAGAGGCTACGAGCACACTTCAGCTTGTCCAATGCCAGCATCTTCAATGCCATACTCCGGTCATCCTTAAGCTGAGACTAGAAGCTCCACCCTCAGCGCAAGCTCGCCGACTTCTGCAGTGCTTTGGTTCCATGTGCCTGCGCATTCAAGCGTGTGTTAGCAAGGGCAGAAAGCTCGCACTGAAGGCGGAGCTTCTAGTCTCAGTTTAAGGGTGAACGGAGTATATACACATGCACTCCTAAAAGCTGGCTTACACAATTGCGTTTGAGTCTACTGAAGTACATCGTGTTTGGTCATAGCCACTTACGATGAAAGAACACAGAGGCACCATCTATCGGGCAGCCTGGGAACACTATAGACTTGAGTACAAATTTTCACGTTTGATGCATCATGTTTTTACCATCGACTTTAAACAATGGAAAGCAGAGACGCAAAGAAAAAGTCTCATCCCATGCGACTCCAATTTTTCGAACGACTGCAACGGGTCGGCAGTGCCGGAAGCGCAGGGCAGCACTCACGCTCGATTTGCTGAGGTCCAGCCTGGTCGAGCCTTCCTCCTTGCAGCGACTGAGCTCCTTGGAAACATCCTGGATGGCGAGCGACGAGAGTGCACACTGTCAGTTTCGTTCCCGGTCAGAGTCAAAACACGGAAGAGTCTCCGACCGGCGTGTGTACCAACCACATCCCCAAGAGTGGTCCCTCGACTTCCGCCCGACAATGTAGTACAAACGTTGCGTCAACGGAGGTCGACGCAACACACGCCCGTTTTGCTGCGGGTTGCTCTGCAGCCAGACGGTCGGGAGAAAATGATGCAGACGCGAGCTGGGACGCTGCAACGAAGCGACCTCCTCGACCACCTGCCTTCTTTGCCGGCATTTTTACGACCCACCGCCAAGATCGCCACGTCTGACGGCGCGACGCCCTGGCTCCCGTGATGCAATTTGTCACTGCTTCGAGACCACTCACGCTGCGCAGGCGGGATCGGACGCCAAATGCGCCGGTCGAAGACGCGTTGCGGGGACTGTGGCCGAAACCTAAAGCTAAAGCACTCCGCAAGACACATGATGCCGGACTCGGTCAAGCCGTCGGGCTGTGTGCCGCGAAGGCTTTGAGTTGATCAGGTATCGCCACATCGAGTAGGCTTTAGGGTTTGCAGAAATGAGACACCTTGTGTGTTGTACTGTACTCGGCGTCAACTATTTTCAGGTATGTCGTCGAGGCTAGCATGGCTTCCCAGTGCTGCAGTCGTGCACTGCCAAGAGAGCATGCATCTTTGTCTTGCGTCTCGTTCACACATGCTCTCGCGCAAAAAAGCCACCAAACAAAAAAATGTGTTTGCGCAAGCAGTTTTGACGGCGTCGGAGCATTGTGAAAGTCACGCTAGCTTCAACGACGCGACACAAAATGATGAAGCCGCATATCGAGTCACTCATAGTTCCTAGATTGTGGCTGGCTATATCGTAGCCATCAATTCGAGCGCCGCGACGCAGTTACAACCGATTGTCTCTGTGCTCTGAGAACAAAGCAGTTTCGTAACACACCCGCCGCCAACACCTAACGTTCGCCCGAAAAAATCGCGAGGCGATACGAGGCATTGCCATTGCAGAGCACGAAGGCACATCGCTGCAAAGTGCACGCCCGAGCTGCGCGATGCGGAAGTTTTTAGCGTAGAGAGCTGCATAGTGAGAGAGTTCAAAGTTGTTAGTCAATGCTTGTCTTCAGAAACGTTATTCGGCGCCTTTTTTGAGACTTTCGATAATGTCCCACAGGATCAGTGACTTTAAAAGGCACATAACGACAGTCCCCACAAAATACAACAAAGCGTCACAAATTTTTGCTCGGTGCAAGGGGACGTGCATTTTCTGACAACACAAACAACAGCCAACAGGGAGGAAGGAGCATGCTGATAAGCGATTAGGAGCAATGTGCAAAAGCATAACCCAATTGTGCCAAACGCCACTGGTGACCGGTGCAGAGGGTACTTTGCCATCATAATACAAGAATACAAACATTGGCGCTAAGAGCTTTATTCGTAGCTTCCGCCTGGCCAAATGACTGCTCGGGACGCTTAGCAGACAGGCAACAGAACTATTTATGTCACGGTGCTTGCAGAAATGGAACTGTGTTTCGGAGCTGGTTTGGAGCTGTACCAAACGCATCTCGGTGCGTGTTGAAAATTACATGAGAGCCCTAGAATTGCTAATGATGTGGGAAGGAACTGATACTGTAGTTTCAGAATGCCCCAGGAACATTGTTTGCCCCCTTGCTACTTCAGGTAAGGCTATCCATTAGACTTGCAAGTTAAAGAAGTAACTGGTATCAATGCTGCCCAAAGACACTGGAAGTGGGCCAAATTTGGCAACAGCAATGTCTCGCTTCATACGATACTCGGCAACACAAAGTTTTTAGATGCGACTTCTTCCTTTCTTTTCTTTTTTGGTCGTGGAAGGCAAGTACGACGAATTTCAATAATCATCACAAAGTTCTCCCAAACATTACTTTTGTGTCTATTGTATATTATACCATACCCCAAGCTGAAACAAAAGGGTGTCTCTTCTTTCTCCCACTGACAAACACAAAGAAAGGAAACAAAAAACATTTTTAGTCTCAAAAAAGATTCTGCATGTCAGCCTTCATGACACAATCTGAGCTAGGAGCGAATAGCAAGGCCACCTTTCCTATTCTACCGTGCAAGAACAGCCCGGCATCTGAATGGTCTAGCCTGGGGACAAACATTCTCCAATGTATAAAGCGCAACTGCACGACACAACCCAATTGCAACATAGGTGCCTAGTCACCAAACTGGACACCAAACAAGTTGGCATATTGCACAAACCTATATCATCAGACTGATGGTTTCAGCAGAAGACTCTGTATGTCTGCTTACGACTGCAGTGCTAGGGCATGCTTCAGGGCAGTCTAAGGCTCATCCTTACTGCGTACCAAATGAAAAGGGCAAGGATGCCTGGACCATAATGGCACAATAGTCGCGACGGGTTCATCCTTATACTTGGCAACAGTCGTAGCTCCTCCGCCAGTGTCCCCAGTGGCGTTTGGCCCCTCGATTTTCGGGCAGAGAGCGCACGCGCATCCTCTCGATATGGCGTGCCCTTACCATTTTGACCTTGTTTGAGCGGTTGCTCAGCCACTCGTCCATCTTAACTTTGACCCCGGCCATGATTCGCTGCGACGAGCTCTGACACTGGGAGTACAGCTACAACACGAACGGGTCCCGTGCAAGGAGAGGGGGAGGTGGGGAAGGGGGCAACAAATGGGGGAGGTTGTGAGGAAAGGGCAGCTAGTGACTTAGAGGGGGGAGACGGGGGAGGTGGGAATTGCCCCAGTCTGACCATAAGGAACACGCACTACACCCCTTTTATTCTGACACAGGCGGAAGCAAAATTATTAGATCAATTCAGTTCTTTAACTCCATCATCGCTGGCTACTCTATGCGCTTTCAAGGGACAAACTCCTTTAAAAATGTGTGAGGATGTTATTTGCATTATAATGCCCTTAGAAAATTGCTCGTTCTGTTAATAACATGTTTCCGAGAGTTGCTGTGGTATCGAAACCCACTTTAAATACTCGTCTGCTAAACTTGGTAAAAGAACCGTCTCTGTACGCATGACGCAATTATAGTAGATTCACCTCGATTTGCCGAGTCGCCTACAAAGAAATCTATGCATTTCTCCGTAATTTAAGCACAGAGTGGAGGATGTGAGGCTTCCGTCCACAAATTACAGCTAGCAGGCGACATGTGCCAAATGCGCTGGCAGCACCGCTGCTACAAAAAACTGGAAAGGGTTTCGAACCCTCTACGCAGCACAGCATCTTAGAAAGGTCCCCAATTAAAGTGATCTACAGTGTGCCTAAAAAAATTTACAGTGTCTCTTTCACCGCAAAAATAAAGTATGCATTGCCAAGCGCTCAGTCTCTGCCAAAATGTAGCACTAGTGGTCCGAACCAGACACCAAAGTTTCAGAACTAACTGTTATCTTATTCAAAAGTTAGAAGCGATTTTCTGAAACTTTCAACGGAAAATGGAGACCCACTCTTCGTAACTTGAGCCATTCAGCCCCACAGATTCATGGGCACTTTCGGCCACCATTTTACCATTGAATATTTATTCAAATCGCTTATAATTTTTTAACAAGGTAACACCTGCTTGTTCTGAAACCTTGGCACCTACTTCGGACCACTAGTGTTACATTTGGGCAGAAACTGAGCATTCGACAAATATGTAAAAATATTTTGCAACTAAAAAAAAAAAAAAAAACGCTTAATTTTGGGAGGGGCACACTTTCTAGTAACGAGCAGAATTCTGCAACTGCATGCGCATGCTACTGGCCCACACGCAGTCGGTAAGTTGTGACATGTTGTGGGTTCAGATTGCTCTAGGGTTTCAAGTCCTAGACTGTTTTTAAAACCAGACACAACTTCCAAAAACTCAACAGATGTCCCTATCAACAGCAATTGTGTTTCCCTAGACCCTTGTTAAACATTAAGTTGAATTTAGGAAACATTACATTGCTGATGCAGTGCTTTTAGTAGTTAAGATATGCCTTCGAGAACACATCAATGCCCAAAAGTGTCCACAAGCATCCTTTATGTTATTGTCATCTGCCTCTGAGCATTTTCTTGCCACTTCATATTTCTTCATTGAAGCTCATAAGACAGCAAATAATTTTTTAAAAAGATATGTTAGAAATAGATAACTGATTTCTTCGGGATGACATTAGCCACCGCGCTGGACGTCAAGTAGAGAGTGTAAAGTGATAATTAGCAAAGGAATTACCTAATATCTACTACTGTAAAATACCGTTGAAGTGCCCACTATTAACATTTCGTAAACTTGGGAATTCTGCAAATTATACGTTAGGCAAATTATATGTAAAATATTCATCCCGTTCCAGCGGCCACGAGAATGAGAGGCGTGATGATGGGGATATCATGTGAAAATAGATGTACTTTCTCGGATTCCGTTTACCTTGCCTTCAGAGCTCTTTATGCGGACCACAAGTTTGTCTGCTTCTTGCGCAGGAGTTGTGATGACATCAGAACGCCAAGCTCTCATTGGCTGACTGAAAACAAATAGTGGGTAGACCTCAAGGCATCTAGCATTGAGCTCTACGCACTATCCTTCTAATCAAAGCCAATCGGAGCACGCCGTCGCTCAGACACCAACACAACCCCTGACCAAGAAGCAGACTACTTGCTTTCCGCATTGGCCGCCATCTTGGTTTCTACCAATTTGACCAGTCAAGCACTCATGACTAGATTAACCCAGTTTTCAGTAAAAGTGGGGTGAGTGCACCCCCATATTTTATGGCCATTGAATTTTTCAATATTCGCTTGAGCTGGCACATTTCAATTAGAAATTTGTTGCCCATCGTCAAAATATGCCACACCAGTTGTGGACCACTAGACAACTAGATTCAGCTCCACACATTTCTCTGGGGAATTTAAGCTGTCAAGTTTCCGCCATGTCAAGACGAACACAGGAATAAGCGCAGAAAGCCGAGCGCCCGAGGGGACAGCAGAGTAGGGCCCACCTTTCTTAAACCACGTGGCGCTTGTTGACACACGGTGAATTGCTACCCGAGGTCAATGAGGAGCCTGACGTCGCTTCCGGGTGAGACTACTGACGCTGTTTTTGCGTCTCGTATCAGTATCTCGTCTGCCCACGGCTTAAACTTGCCAGAGAATTGCCAGCTACAGCGAAATTGACACTGCATAGTGGCAACGCTGAGAAACCCCGAGAGAATGTCATTTCGCCTCTGTTGTCTGCTTTTGCTGCTTGGTTCTCGTAGGCAGCATAGCTCTGCGCAGTTGTTTATTAAGATTGACTAAATAACCATAGTTTGCCGGTGTCGCAACCAAACGAGGGATGAACAATGACGTGGAAACATGTTAGGGGTGCGCAGTTCCCTCGTCCGCGAGATGAAAAAAACACGCCATCACGCAAAACATCTTTACACAAGCAGAAAATGTAGCGAGACCCACGAACTGGAGTAGATTTATAACAAAAATTGCTGCAAAAGTGACCTTGGCAAAAGAAAAACAAACAGTTAGAAACTGCGTGTTTTTTTTTTATTTAATGACGTAATATCAGAACCCTATGCATTTAGAACATCAGCCAATTCAAGTGTTAAGACACTCGCTATCAAATTTGATTACGATGGCATGTAGATGGGCATGAGAACCTCTTTCTCTGACCTCCCCAGATAGTTATTTAAGCAAAGACCTCACTTTCGCGAATTCATGCTTAGGCTTATATCCTGTCACTCTTAGCACCAACTAAAAAAAAGGTTTTTACCCTCCAGAGAGCACTCTTCTTTTGTATGTAACACCGATTCTATGCTGCAAGGTAAGAAATGGAGGTCTTTCGTTTGTTGAACGATAAAACTGATCTCCTTTTGTCTGCCATTCTGCCTGATCAGTTCACCCGTGCCCCCCCCACATTGTTCGCTTGAGTTGGAAATACAGCAGAGCAGAGCAGAATTCTGTCATCTAAATTCTAACAACTGCTACAACATATTTTGACAACGGGCAACAACTTTCTAATTGAAATGTGCCAGATGAAGCAAATATTTAAAAAGTTAATTAAGTGGATTTTAGGCAATTAAGTTACCAATTATCACTTAAAAATTTCTACCTCATGTCTGCTGCAGTGGGTGATGTTATCCCAACAAAAACAAGTTCTTTCTTTATTCCAAGTGTCCTATTTGTTTTAAATAATTGTTGTCCTAGGAAAAATTGTGTAGATTCGAAACTTAGAGGTGATACTTCTATGCCTTACAATACTCTTAGATGCTTATTGCATTATTTCTTTGAGGCACTGTTGTGTGGTGGAAAGCAGTCCTCCTCTTCCCTCCCCCCCCCCCCTCCCCCCTCCTCCACACCTCGGGCAGTGGTGCTATGGTGTCACTTCTGTTCAGACTCAAGGAAAGTATGCTGGGAGACTGGGACACTTTAACCCCAGACTCACATTCACAATGAACATTCAAGGGCACTTGGGAACACACAACCAATGAGGACAACAGCAACAGTAACAACAACCAAAAAGTCAGCCAGAATTGACGTGAGAGGGAATGAGCGAGGAAGAAGCAAGGGTGGCGTGCAGGGCTGTACTTGCGTGCACGGCACGAAGCGAAGGTGCAACAGAAATCAGAAGCTACAATGTCAGAGAGACCATTTTACCTCTACAAATTACATACCCGAAGGTTTTCATGGCTATATTTTTGTTTTTATTTAATAAGATATATAACTATACTCTGTTTCACCTTATGATGTACCGCAGAAAAGGCTACAAGCACGAGCTCCTTGCTCTGGGGCAGATCTCGGCGGCACAAGCTCTCGTGCATTAAGGGCAGGTGCCAACGCTATGAGTTCGCGCGTCTAGCCTTCGCTGCGGTACAACATAAGGTGAAACGGAGTATAGTTGTAGAAATTCACTATAGGGAGTATTCACTGTACACCGTATTTGAAGGTGCTGTTAAAAGCGCATGATCAGAATGAGCTCGGAATAATAGGTTGCCAAGACTGGCAATCTTGATGGTGTGGAATGCGTGATGCAAAAGAACTGTGGAGGTTCGCCATCAGCATGCGCTCAGCAATTGCACACACAACTATGGCTGCCAGTGAATACTCCCTACAGTAGGGTCAGTTTCCCTGAAACTGAAAAAAAATCTTCACTACCATAATATCTTCACAGTGCATCAGGACTTCAAAGGGCTACACCAATAGTGCATGCATACTTCTACATTGCTTTACTAAACACCACTGTTTACTGTGTGCAGAGCGTTAGCTTGTCTGCTTGTTTTGCGGGGATTGGGGTGACGTCACAATGCCAAGCTCTGATTGGCCCTGATCGAAGGATAGTGTATAGACCTCAATGCTAATTGCCTTGAGGACTACCCACTATCGTTTAATCACAGCCAATCAGAGCTCGGTGGTCTCGCACAACCCCTGCAAAAGAAGCAGACGAACTTGCGCCTCGCATAGAGAATGTTGCATCGTCTGACTCTACAATTATTAGGTTTGCATTCTGAACGCTACAAAAAGGTGCAAGAACATTTTTTTTTTTCTCTTCGCCAACATGGTCCTGGTAAAATTACTCGTGCAACAAAATAAAAATATATATGTATATTTGAAATCTTTTGCTTACTTTTTTTTTTTAACTCGATAGGAATGCAACTTGTCGGTAAAATATGTTACAAGCTATCCCACCAATACTATACATTTATTTAAAAATTCATATAAAAGTACCGCAGGTCGTGTGACTTACGGCTGGAAGATTGATTAGCAGCACTAAATATGTTAAAATAATTATGCACGCTGTTCCGTAACATTCCATGCACCTATGGTCCGAGCAACTTCAGGGAAACCTCAAAACATTACAGAGTTCTTTTGCAGCTAGATTTTTTGTCCACTAGGGGATGGGAAATTATTATGCAGTCACAACTTAAAGGGAAGCTACGGAGCTTCTTGGAAAAAATGAGTTAGAAGTGAATTCTAGTGTATTTTTACCCCGTGAACCCGAATACCCAAACCATATGCTGCGTAAGTATTGGTAAACGCGAGAAAAACGCGAAAGACAGTCGCTGTCCGTGACGTCATCGACGGCTCTTTTGGCTGCCCAAGGCTAGGGGGGCGGGGCTTCAGCCCTATTTTGAAATTGCTCTTGTGGCTCTCCGGCGCGTCGCATTGAAATATAATTTTGATATCTGTTATTCTAAAGGCCAAATGAACGCAATTCATGCGTTTTTTCTCAAATGTAGAAGTGCCCCATCTTCCCTTTAAGGACAGCACCCATATTGGACAGCCATCTGACTTGCCCACTTAAAGGGCCACAGAAAAGAAAAAAAGTTTTTTTATAAACAATCTAATAGTGTCAAAAAAAGCTTTATGCAAAAAAAAAAAAAAAAAAAAAATTTTTACAGAAATATTGACGGCGCATGATTTATTTAAAATTCTGTGCGCAGTTTTTTTTTTTGCATAAAATTTATTATTTGACATGCGTGTCCCAACCAGACTGTTTAAAAGAAGGACTTTTTTTTCTTTTCAGTGGCCTTTTAAAAAACATTTAAAAAGAAGAAATTTTTTTTTTTTCTCTTCAGCTGTTTTTTAAGATTCACCTCCACGCGATTGTAGACTTTGTCGGTCGCCATTTTCCCATTAAAAATTTAAAAAAAAAGCTCATAAATTTTTATTCAGATAACGACAAGCTTCAAAACTTTGGAGTCTGGTTTCAACCTCCCACAGTATGTTTGGGTGGAGATGGAGAGTTCGGCAGTGCATAGTTCATTTTTGTTGTGAAAAAAAAAGTTACATGGTAAATTTCTTCGGCGACATGCCGCTAAAAAAAGGGGCGTCGAACACTACTCGAATTTTGCCGGAAACGTGAAGGAAAACGAAACGGGCCACTCCCACTCACGAGGTCTGCTTGGATGGAGCCTTTCTTTTTAGACGTGGGCTTGGGCTTGGTGGTGCCGGGGTGGGTCACCGTCACCTGCTTGGGTCGTGCCGCATCCCCGCTCCCCAGAGACCCCGAACTCAGCTTCTTTTCCTGCAGAGACAAAAGGCAACAACGGGGTCAAGAGGAGCTGCTCGTTCACTTCGATCGCGATCCACGGAACGCGTCTTTGACCGGTCCGTTTGGCGTCCCGTCCTGCTCGTACGTCCAAGGCGGTCCCGGAGTGGCGACAAATGACGTCGCAGCGGCCGGCATATCATGCTGTGGGACGCTGCGATCCAGACGATTGCACAAGCAAACACGAGCTGCTCCGTTGTCACGGAGGCCCAGCGTCTGCCACCTCTACCTCCGCCGCTGTGACGGAACGAGAATCGTGGCCGCCAACATCACGACATTCCTACGACATCCTTAAGTGGAAATCGAGGAACCATGTTTTAGGACACGGTGAACGTGGCAGTCGGAGGGAGGCGCGATCTGGGCACCATACTTCAGCTCCGGACTTCCGTCCGATCGGGACGAGAGGCTACGCAGAGGGGGAAATGAATGTGCCACGAAAACTAAATGGACCTTTTTCGACTAACGAGCTTTGTCTGGGGAGTTGTCTGCAAACTACAAACGAAGGCCAACCTAACATTCCTCCGCCCATCAAAACACATTGGCATTGTGCTGTTGTATCGGATTTCAGAGTTTTTTACACCCCATATTACCGATACTAAAAAGCAAAGCGTCAAAATAGACTAAATATGCACAAACATAGATGCTGACAATGCTGGTCGTGCGGGACGGTGCTCCGCGAAAATGGCGACAGCGGGAAGATAGGCCTAGGGAGAGAGCGCACGTATGCGCAGAAGCTTACTGGGAAAAGGTCCATTTACAGTCTCGAATTTCGGGTGTTTTTTTAGCTACACAAACTATAACTACATTTTTTAAACACTCGAGCTTTACTTTTCGCGTCGTACAAATTTATTGTCTCTAAATTCGAAATAGCAACTGAGAAAATGGCAAACGAAGGCAATGCCAAAACCAACATTCAATTTTTTCAGAGTTCTCCGGTGGTACGACGTAACCTGTTGTAAAACTTGCAGGTCGAGCAGGCAGGTTAAAAAAACAAGTATGTCTTACTTTTTTTTTTTTTTTCAACCTGCTGGAGTGAGTTTTTACAGCATTCATTTCGCACCATCAACGTCTTGCAAGATGTTGAAAACAAGTTCTTCTACCCCGATGACTGGAGTAACTTTTTTAATGTTGCCAATGTAACCTCTCAATTAAAAAAAAAAGGGGAAGGAGGGGGGGTGAGGGTTAAATTGAAAAATTCAATAACTACGCAAACAGGATAATTATGACCCAATATTTAAGTTACTTGTTTAGTCATGTCTATTGATATGTTAAATCAATTTTGGGGAAAATGAATGACCAAAATTTTTCTGGAACTTCCTTTTAAGAATATTCGTGATTAGCGAGCACCAGTGCTTACTGCTTTACACGAGCTCGGTTGCTGCATGTGGAAGAAGTGCCTCTTTCCCACAAAAAAATTGAAAACAATGAGAAAAAAAATGTACAGTTGCTAATTTTGTCAACATTTAATTTTATCTGCTCTCCTTACGATAGCCTTATCTGATGTGTTGAATGTAAACATGTGTTATTTGCTGCTCTTGTATCAACCCTGCCAAGACATTTGCTGTCAGTATAGTGTGACTTAATGTGGGGTTTTATTTTTCTATTGTACCTGACTTTATTGAATTTCTTTTTTTCTTTTTCATCCATTGGATGCTCAACTATACTTAGAATATATTTACCAAGCTTTCTTTTTCATTCATTGGATGTTCAACTATACTTAGAACATATTTACCAAGCTTATGTTTTTACTCTTTCCATATCTTTTGTGAGTATGCTGTCCACTGTAGACCAAAAGGAAGCTAAGGCCTTGTCAGACACTGAAGCTTTTTGCCTTAGGCCCTTATGCAAAACAAATCTGCAGATACAAATAAAGAAAAAATAACTCATTCATCCAAATCAGTAGAAACTTAACTAAAGAAAACAAAGATTGACAAAGACCATATTCATAATTTAAAAAAAAAAAATCACACTGGATGCTGTTGACTAATAAAAAAAAAAAAGTTAATGTTGCTGTTTTTTGTTTGTTTTTTACTTTATTGAGCGGTATTTTTTTAATGATCATCTAATCTGGTCAATTCTGAGCATGATTCAGGTCCAGCACCCCCTATGGCCTCAGGGAAGAAATACTCTAAAATAAACCGATTATAACTGCACACATTGTGTTTTAGGCAACCCCATTCCACCCAATAAACACACCCCAAAAGGAAATGTAAAATTTAAGTTTTTATGTTAAATTTCAAGTCTAACTAGAAATCCTATATTCGAGCACGAGACACCTGTTTGCAGCAGGCAACTATTGGGAAAAACATTGTGCCAAAGTGGAGCATACCTAAAAATCACAGGCAAAAACAAGATTAACTATGGAAAACAAGGAGAAAAGTGGAGCTTTAATTGTTAAACACACCATGTGAGCGAACCAAGGTCCCTACTCAATTAGAGACAAAGAAAAAAAATAATAATGATCTTAGAAGCACATTTTCAAAGAAATAGAACACAGAAGCCCCATCCTTCCCCAAGCATCACGAGACAATGACTCACAATGTTTCACTAATCACAATCTCATGGAGAATAAGTACTGACAAAGTGCCCAGGCTAAATGCCCGTTTTATCACAGGTGGCCCACACCCAAGTCAAATTCGCTCATAGAATCAAATAAAGGAAATCCTGAATCACTCTCCTGAAATCAGCCAAAGGTGCAAACAAATCGAATGCCATAAAAATGACATCACCCTGCAAATTTACCCCCCCTCCCCACCCCCCCACCCCCCCTTCAGAATACAAAGAGACTGAAGCAATTCTAACGTCACGTTCAACAAGGATATTGACATAAATTTAACATTACTTAGTCGTAGGCCTTGCATGTAAAGCTGCCCCGACTTCTACCAACGCTAAAAGGTGAAGTGTCGGATTTGTCAAAAAATCAAGCAGGTAGTTCAAAGTTGGTGTGACCCCCATTTTCCAAATTATTATCATCTGAAATAAATGTCACAAGGTTCAAAACTCATGTGCATAGGCGTGTAGATACACGTCTAAACGGTCCAAGACACTGCAACGCCAACCTTTTAGTAAGCGTTTCAAGACATATCAGCATCTAAACAGACCTGACTTTTTCACATATAGGCTCTTTGGCACAACAAAGTTTCCCAAACAATGCTAGTACATCCAAGGAAAATGAAGCAGCAATTTGCTTCATAGGCCAGTCCCATATTGCTCGATGGCAGGCAGCACCGCTGCAGCTCACGTCCTGGAGACATGTTTCTGCGCGACTACGGTCGACTACAGTTTTTCAAACATGCAATGCAGGTGGCAAGTGCTAAACACTAGATACAAATGGGGCAAAACAAAGAGACAAAGCGACCCATGTTTGGGCATTGGGATTAGCGCTACATTCTTCCGGTCGTCCAAAATGACGCCCAATGTACCAACTGTAGGATGCGTTCCAGCCTTCCTGGTTGAGAAGAACCTTTTTGAATGTGTTCAAAACTCTCGCATCAAAAATAAAGGCAAAGGGGACTGCGACAACCTCTCTCCAGGCCAAAAGCCGTTGGTGCCTCGATTGTACGACTTCTTCTTACCCAACGGCAGTCAGGGGCAAAGGCAAAGCGTAGGGGAAAAGCTCGAGTTCCTTTGACCGTGGTTGGCATCCCGCCTGCGTGCTATTTCTAAGACGAACTACAGTCGACGGTAGTTCAGGAATATGAGGGAATGTAAGAGAGAGAAAGAAAAGGAGAAAGGAGGAGAGAGAGAGAGGTAGAGTAACACTTCCAAGATAAAATGGCCATAACGCCGGACTTTTATGTCACGTATCGGCGGAGGCCAGCACACAGCACAGACTTGACACAAGTGCCACGTAGGCGTTCAGCTGAGAGTGTCAGTCCCAGCCAATCACTGAGACAGCCTTTTCATCTAGGAGGTGTTGAAGAAAGAAAGAAAGAGAGAGAGAGAGGGGGGAAGAGACCTGGGGAGGAGGCGGCGGTGGCAGGGGCGGCGTGGGAAGCGGGGAGGGATCTCGGTCCTCCCGCTCCTCTTCTTCCGCGGCGACGCTGGCCGAAGCGTCTCCGCAGCACTCCACGTGGCAGCAGCAAGAGCCGCGCTGCAAAGGGGGTGACACGCCGCCCTCTCAGGGGCCGGCCTCTCACCAACCAAGCCCCGCCCCACCTTCTAGATAACAAGGCCACGGCGCAAGATTCTCCATGTCGCCTACCGGGGGCTAGTGCGGGGCACGGACTGGACCCGAGCGTTGCGTCGGCATTCGGCTAGGACTTGCGCTCAACCGGCGAGGACCCGAGACCTAGCTGAACGGCGACGCAAAACTCTTGTCTAATCTGTGCCCTCTTATAGCTGCTGATAGGTGGCATAGAAAGCCCAGCGCCATGTTAATGTTGAAGTTTGTTGCGTAAACAGTGCAGAGCAGAAGTAACTTCCTTGTTCTCAAGGAGGAGTTGGCACCATTGCCCTACACCCTACCGTACCCCCTACCTACCTACCTACCCACCACCAAAGGGACAAAGCCCACAAACCAGATTTTGTTAAGAAAAAACAGATAGGGCGCAGGCGAGCTGGTGTAGGTTTACCATTTTTCGGACCACCTGAGACTGGGTGGAAGAAACACAACGATGTCTCAAAAAGACGTCGTCGTGTTTCTTCCACCCAGTCTCACGTGGTCTAAAAAATGGTTTGTTAAGAACTTTGAAATAATTTCAGGCTTCAAACGTGCATTCTCGCTGACGGGATCTTCAAGAAGGGAAGAGAAATAAACTCTTTGTACTGGCGCAGCGATGCTTTGTTGGTACCGGACGAGCGACTAAAAGGCACCGAGAGTGGATTGAAGATCTAAACTGGAATCAGTAATATACGACCTGGCACGCAGGATGTTTTTGCTTGGCTCTGGTGGTTTTGACGAAAAGTGTCCAATTCATTCTATGGCGGTTACGTCAGTTCAGACGTCGTCGAAGAAAACTCAAAGCCAACAAAGCTTGTTTTAAGGGCAGAGCATTTAAAAAGAATCCGAGAACGAGTAAGGATGGTCCTTTTATTTTACCTCCGCTCTAGACAGCTTATGGCATTTCACTATTTACAACGTGCATTTCAGTTGAACATGTCTAGCAACGAGATTGCCACCGTTCACTGCGAGACTCTCTGCTCCACTCATTTCTAAGCTACCTGTCCCCGATCGGCCTCCTGTGGTCCTCCCACCACACGTCTGCTTCATGACCATTTAGTCTAGTGCCACATCACCTTGTACATTTCGCAGGAATTCCTGAGCTTTTCAAAGCTAGGACCTTATGCGTTTAACCTGTGCCGTATGCTCTGATAGGCCTCCTCAGTGGCATAAAAGCGTAGCTTGTCCATATTTCGTCAAGCGCTCGTGAATGCCACCACCAAGCACATCTCAATCAGGTTCTCATGTACTCATGCAACAGAAAGCCTTAGAAGGGCACGAGCTGCCCATCAATAGAGAAACCAGACTTCCCTGCAACATTTTGATTTTACGTAGGGTTATAAACGCAGGTGTTGATTCATTGCTGCTTCTAAGCACTGCTTGCCTTCAATGCCCTTTTAAGGTTCTCAATGCTTTTTTTATCCCAAGGTTTTTGTTCCATACGTTGCCAATTACAAGAATGTAACTCGAATGTAACAAGCTAGACCAGTGGTTAGCAACCACTGTCGTTTTGAGGACCCCTTCTGGATTGGCAGAGGTAATGGAGGACCCCATCCATCGGGGAGAAGAGGTATTGAGCTATTACAACGACAAACGAGTAAATTAAGAAAACTAAATGCATGCAAACCAACTCTGAAGCTCTGGAATGGAGGTTTAGATTTAGCTATGTGGGACAGTCAGCATCAATAATAACAAAACGTTTTATTTCTCGGCTTGACCGATGATTGAGGGCTTCGGGGATCCTAAAGGGTCCACGGACACCCATCTGAAAACCACTGAACTAGACCAATGTGTAATAAATATTTTTTGTGACATTAACACTTTTCAATGAGCAATTGAGCCACAAGTGTGTGCATGATTATGATTTTGCTTGTCTCTTCTTTTTCTTCTGCTTTGTAAGATGTTTTGTATATCTATTCTATAAAAGTCTTGTTTAATTAATGGTGTTTTCCCATCTTCAGTTGACATGTTTATGCATTCAAGTGGTTTTAAACATTTGGTAAAGTCAAAACTGACCTAGGATATGTGGATTTTTTTTTTTTGCATTGTTTGGTAATTTTGAGCAATTGTTAGTGTCTGACCTGTTTTTGTCTGTTTTGTGATGCACCACCAGGAAGGCATAATGTTGCTGTTGGTGAGCATCAATAAATAAACACTAACATAATCATAGTTTTACCTGCCTAACACGCTGCAGGCCAACATGCCGCTTGCGACAACACCTCAAGCCTCATCGCAGTAGTGATCCTAGTCAGTGTTGCCAGATGGTCCCACAAAAAAAAGACAATGACTGGAAGGTATAGCCTAAATAGAGCCAAAACCGTAAAAAAGAAAAAAAGTTAAGATATAAAAATGTTATTATTAGGCTTTTCATTGTCAATTTTTCACACACATACAAAACACATTACATTTTGGAGTTTTGCATTTGTCCTAAGTCCCTTTTTTTCCCCAGCTCCAGGGTTACCATGTCAGCATTGAACCAACTCGCCTGCACCCTTGCTTTAGTTATACATTCTCTTTTTCAACTCTCAAATGTGCCATATTTTATGCACATTCTGTCATGTGTGAATTTTTCGAAAAAAGCTTTGGAAGCATGAAAATTTGTACAACACTGACCTTTTCTTCGTAGGCATTCAAGTAAGTACAAAACACCCAAAGACAGCCTTATTTTGAGGCCCGGGAGATATGATCATGCAGTAAAGAACAGAATAGAGAAGCAGAAGAGTCGGAACACTGGGCATTTCAAACAAGAACCCCCAATATCTAAGGTCCTTACCAATATCCTACCCACCTTTTTTTCTTTGTGTAAAACAGGAGTGTCCCCCATTCCGGTTCACGCGATTACTGATTGTGTTGTCATTTCTTGGGGTCGGCGACGACTGGAAGGTACTCAATTGTTTAGCAGTGGAGCTGCAGACTTCTCATTTTTACGAACTTGGGTGCCTAAGGATTCCCACAATGGGCACCAAAGTAGCATTTAGAGAGTTCAGTTTATGTTCGGGAAGAAGACGCGCTATCGAACCTGTGATAATTGTGCAATCTGTTTGGTTTGCTCCACTGAGCTGTGGGGAGACCGCTTGAACTCGGCAAGCCATGCTTCTTTGCGGATTGTAAAAACTCCAAAGTTTGTACAAATTTGAAACCTTTCTCCTTCCTCTCTCTCCTCTCGACCAGCCAAGAGAAAAAATTATTTTCGAAACTGATTAGAAGATTGAAAAATAACTACTCGAACCTCAAAGTTCAGCGTTGAACCTCGAAGTTCAACATCGAACCTGGGGTTTGACAAAAGTTCTCTGCGTCCCAAGAAATAGCCCAAAACAAAAAAGCCACATAACAACCACCAAATTTCGACCCCCAACCTAAAAAAAAAAATAAAAAAATAAAAAAATAAAAATTTGGCTATATATAGCCCAATCTGGCAACACTGATCCTAGTACCAGAAGCAATTTTGGCCGCACTTATTTTTAACCATAGAACACTCAACAAACAAATATGGACGACTAGTTACAAATGACAAAAAATAGAAATTCAAAGCAGTGATGCTTCCTTAATGAGGACACCTCTCGAAAATCGTCCATAATGTGAGTTGTCCATAATAACGAGGCAAAAATGCATGTTGTATTGACCCAATTCCCCCTCCTCCTCTTCATCCCCCCCCCCCCTCCCCCCCGGAAACTTCGTCAACATAGCGGGGTTCCCATATTATAGGGGTTCGTATTAATGTGACATGACACCTTTCTATTTTTGATCTGAAAGTTTCTGTGGGTAGTTAGCTCAAGTGTTTTTGCAGAAACTTGATCTTAAAAACTTGAAAATCAAAGGCCCCACACATTGTCCACATTGCCTACAGGTAGCCCCAGCTGTAACCACACGAAGATGGAGGCATGCCTCCCGTTGTGCACAGATTACTGGGACTAATGACTACAAGCTGGGGGGAACTGGAGCTCGAAATGCAGTTTTCTTTACTACTAATGCCACAGCCCATAGAAAGCACGACAAGCAAGCCACAGAGTAGAACCCTCTGGTGCTTTCCAACGGACGAAAAACGAAAACGCACATAACTCCATCAGTGTTAAAGGCCCCAGATTGGATGGGAACCAAACTCGATCACACCAGCTAACAATGCATCCAATCCAGGCCAATCCAGTTTCTACCCGCTTCGGAAATAACCCGATCCCACGCCGACCCCCCCCCCCCCCCCCCCCCCCCCTTTCCTTCTTGTAACTCCGACCGTCGCCGCACAAAAACGGAGCTCGCGAGCTGCGATCAACATTAACGTCTCGGCAAGCCCGCGAATCCAAACGCGTAACGTCTAGGGGACACGAAGTTACCTCCTTTGAACACCCTTGGCCCGTTGCAGACGCTAAGTCCGCTTCGTCGTCCATCGCACGCAAAGATGGAGGAGAGAAGAAAAAAAAATGGAATCCGCTTGACAGACGACGGGGAGCAGACTAACGGCACCGCGGGGCATGTCGTCACGTGATCAAGAGGGGAAAAAAAAAAGTTGGAGCTCGCAGCGCCCTCGCGGCCGGCCGCGGGATGCTGCGTTCGGTTCGTCCGAAGTTCGATTATTTTTCCGACTCTCATCGGACGAAAATGGCATCGTGACGTTGCGGCCAGCTCCTGTTCCAACTGACGCGAGTGTTACGCTCGGCTACGTCATCGATGCGCCTCCAGGATCGCGACGGTAACGAGGCAATCGAATGGGACCTGGGGAGCAGCTGCCCGGAGGACTGGGAGTACGTTCCCGGACCTCCGATGCGGACGACGCGGACCTCGGCACATAAAAAAAGCGAAAAAATATAAAATCCTCTAGACACTAAAATGCCACTAAAGCGCAAAAAAAAAAAAAAAAAAGATTGGCTTTAAAGCAGTTGAGCACAAAGTGTGCAAACGAGCTAGTGTAGATTAAACGTAATTACAAAAACAAAACT